ATAGCATGCTGTCTGTCTGTCGATTTTCGTCGCGTAGTCTTCGTTCATTATCTCACAGATGGAGTTGTGCAAAAGCATAAGTACAATCTATGAAAAGTATCTATGTAGGTGATTCAGACACCTCTTGCTTCTTTACCCTTTTCTCCTCACCTGAGCGCAGTCCTTGGGTAGCTCTTGTGACGCACTGAATATAAAACTGCTTTCCATGATGTCATAACCAAAAACTTCTTCTTTGCATACCGTCGATAAATCGATAAAATTTCTTCGCAATTTTTGATGGAGACCAGGTCTCTTTAACCTTCATTTTTGTGATAGATGAAAAGAAAGCCTGAGTTGTTGAACAGAGAGTCCATCCTTCATGGATGTTTTAGATCACCAAACATACAGATACTTTCCATTCGGTACAAGAAACGAGATGTGAATCCCAAACTTGCTTATCGTGAGTACACAACAAAGTAACCAAATTTGTCTTCAAAACACAAGCAAAGGTAAAAACAACTAAGGGAAGGGGGCCATACAAGGCTTATAAGCTTTAGCATCAAGAAACGGACTCACGCTGCTTAAAACCTTGCTATTATTCATGCAAAAAGTTCACAGAAAAAGAACAATCGTTTACAGTCTTTACACTTTCATCATCAACTTGTTGCCGCTGGCTCAATGAAGTCTTCAGCATCAGCTCGTTTCAAAACATTGATAAGCTGTCATCAATCGGGGACTTCTTTTAGTCTAAGTAGCTCAAACAGTAGAGATCTGTGCCTGAATTGCACGCTCCGAAGCAAACGCCCTGCGCACCGGTCAAATTTGCATCGGGTCATGGGGCGCGCTCTTCGCAGCCATTTGTAACTATAGGTATGAGTTGGGAGTACATAGCATTAGTTTCTATATATATTTATTAAATAGTATTTACATAAAAGGGGGAAAGTGGGGAAAAGGAGAGGTTGCTTAGCAACCTGCTAGCCGGCGGTCATCGGGGGCCACTGTCTTGGCTCGGGCTTTACAGCCTGCCCAGGGAGGGGACAGCTGCTGGTGGAACACCCGACAGGCTTGATCAACGATATGACCTTGATACCTAAAGTTTTTGCTTATCACAACAGTTTACCGAACCTATTGACACTCTGATTTCGGAATGGATGCTCGGTTCCCCGCTTCAGGATTGACTTAAGGAGTGTAATGCGTTCTGCGCAATTACGTACATCCGTGCCCGCGCGCGGGGATATCAATCTTCAAAGTGGCCGGCATATCCGTGTCATCTCATATTATCAAGCCTTTCACAGAAGTTCAATATTTAATTACTATCCACTATGTCCACTATGTACGTCAGTGACGTTCGCAAATGTGGGTGCTAAGTCGATCGTACTCGTTCCTCTGAATTTGTATTTTTTCTCTTTCATCCGTTGTTTAGTGATGTTTGTCTCGCTGGCACTTTTTATCTCCAACGAGAAGGTATGACTTTGTTAGCATCTTTATTAGGGAGACGGCTCCTCTGTACCGCTAACCTTAGCAGCTTAATTACTGCGCGTCTCTGACTGGTCGGCGCTGCCGTGAGAAGAGCTACGCTGTCGTTGGAGACGCAGGTGCTCTCAAATTGGACGAATGGACGAACGTGGTCGAGTATTTTTCTCCCCAGAAGTATTCTGCTGCGAGGACGACAAGTCTTCTGCTCACTAAGAGATTCTCTCCATAACTTTTCTGCTGTGAGGACGTCAAGTTTCCGGCTCACTAAGAGGTCTCTCTCCACAAGTCTTCTGCGGGCCGGATTAGATCCAGCAAGTGCTCTGGGCCGGGAACTACAGGTCTTCTGCTCACTAAGAAGTCGCTGAGGGATTCCCGATTTTACAGGAAGTCGTCATAAGGGGAGGCCCGCAGGTCCGTTTTTATATTGTACCGCAGGATGATACGTCAACGCCAAAAAAGACTTTAGATATGAAGGAATTGGACGAAGACACTTTGAGGTATGCCTATAAGCTTGTACGTTGCTATGATTTGATACTTTTTGCACAGTAGTCACTTCTGGTTTTTCAAGTGCGCGAAAACCATGTAGGACTGCATTTTGACAATACATTGGTGTTTCAGCTGAAAAGGATTGTTGAGGTCCGTGCTTTTTTCCCTCATTTGAAACTTCAACCATTATTTTCTCTAGATTTTTTATGGCTGATGTCTGCTTTCAGCTAGCTTTATGACAACGAAAACCGGGTGCTTGGAATGAAGCTTACCATACCTGCAGCGGAGAAGTCGCGCCTCTTGACCGTCTCCCAGAATTTAGAGGGTTTGCCTGTGATGGAGCCGCCTTTAAGGCTTGAAGGGAGGACTACGCCATCCAAATTGACGACTTATGAACTTAAAGAGGCAGTGCGGGGTCAAGCGTGTGATGTGACTGTCGCAACGTAGGTCGAAAATCAAACAGATAATTAGTACATGTTCTTTACAATCATTACTTATCATAACGGCTAAGGGTTGTTTACGTTTGTGTGTGTCTGAATCTCTATCTGTCACAAAGTTCGTGGAGCGAGCTACAGCCAAGGTCTTGAGCTGATTTTTTGCAAAAAGTATGCTCCTAGCAGTAGGTTCACTATGCACAACGGCTAGCCGACCCGGTAAACGGAACCTTCATAACTGGGCGTTACATGGGTTCATCAGGCTTTCAAACCGCATTACTAGATCATTTTCAGACTTTTGCGAAGTTGTGGATTTGTTTGCAAAGTACAGGATGTCCCAAAAGTCTTTAAGCCTAGTATTTTCTTAGCTGCAACTGTACGAAGCAACATTGTCACATGGAATTTAGCGCAATCTTGTGAAGAACCTACAAAATAACAAGGTACACTCAGTTTTCGAAAAAACCTTACTTGGCCTTCACACAAGCCCTCACACTCTTGCGGAACGCATGCACCATGGCAGACAGATAGTTGACATCGAGAATGTCTCACACCTTCTGAAGCAAGCGTTCCAGATTGCCCAAAATCTAGTCTAGTGTGGAACAAAGCAAGCCTTGCTTTCCATGACTGATCACAAAGAAAAATCAAAGGCCCTTAAGCCGGCGATTTAAAGCACGTTGATTGAGAAGCACGCTTGTGAAATTTAACAAAAGCGTCAAAATAGCAATCAAGTTCTTGAGATCAACAAAACAACAATTTTGGTGTGCATGGAATGACTTTAAAATAATATTTCAGTAAAAAATGCAGAGCTTACAGCTAGAATTAGTGACTCAAATTGAAGTGGTGTTGGAGTTTTCAGCTTTCGATTTTTGTTTCCGAGAACTTTTTCTTCTTATTGACACGGCACTACTTTGAGTGTTTGTTTTCAATCCTGCATTGATAAATAGAGACTACTGATTAGTTTTGCATGTAGACGTAGTGTGAAGCTAGCTCTATAATATGCAATACAAGATTTCGCAGAGCTTCAAAGGCAAAAGAGCTATAGATGTTTGAGTAAAGGGTACGTCAACATTGAGTCGTCCTCAAAATTGTAGTATTGTTTGCTCCAAAAACAATATTTCGAGAATGTACAGCGCAAATGGTATGATTTTCTTGAGGAATACTAAAAACTAGACGAAGTACTACTCATACGCAAAATTTGACTGAAAAGCGAGGAATACTAAAAAGTTACTCTTCTCGCCTTTAGCCATATAGCGAAGGCTTAAGGCTCCTTAAAAAAGATTGGCACATCAAACGTGTTCAATTCGAGAATAGTTTCAGAAGCTCAAACGCTTTTGCAGGCAATGGTTTCGTTGCTTCTCCCGTGAGTTACAAAATTTTGAGCTCGAAAACCCAGTTTCTGGTATTCAGGATCGCATATAAATTTGCTAAAGTCGCATCTAATCTTTTTTCGAGCTCACTGCTCTCAAATGGCTGCAACTTTTATCCTCATTTGTCTGGGTACTCTACTACATAACTTACTCATTGCAGCCTGTCAGCGTCTCACTAACTCGAGTCACGAATTTTCAAAGTACCGTGCTCATGCACATTTTTGACATCGTCTTGGAAGATGCTAAAGTAGTTTAATTCGCAGGAAAATCTGTGCGAAGACTGGAAAATAAGTTCATTAGTCGCAAACACTCTTTACACTTCATGAATAGCATTTTTCTCTCTGCAAAAAATGGTGTCGCATACGGTGATCGAACTCAAGACTATCATGATAGCCTAAAGCGTTCTTGTTTGCAGAAGCGATGAATTGTTTTTCACTACAGTCACTTGAACATGAATGGGTTCTGCCAAACACTCATAGATCGTAGAAGGATTTCTTACCTGTCGCTAGGAAATAAATTACCATAATTTAATCAGTTATATTGACTAAAGTGTATTGCTCTGTAATCCTGAACTTTTCCTGCTCGTTATCTTAATGTTTGCTCGCTTTCGCTAGTGTTGATAAAGCAAAGGGGAGGGGGAGTGCGGATAGGTAACTCCATGGAGAGGGGGAGGTCGTAAAAGAGGACCTAAAATTGCATGAAGACGCTTGACCCTGGTGTTGGCAAATTTGCAGTACCCCACTTTCAACAAGTTACTGAAATGCGCTTTCCAAGCAAACTATAGCCGTTTTAGAGTAAAAAATATTGTGAAGCAAGAAATAGCCCCGTCCTGCTCAGCACGATCGGCTAGTCTGGCGCCCATCTAATGTGCGACTGGTCTCTGTACAGATTACCATGACTAGCAGCTGCCCAGGACATAAGTAGAAAGTCTTTTGATCTGGGTGATTTATTATCGCATTGTGAACGTTTCTTTCTTCAGATTGTAATCGGCTTTTCAAAGTAATTGTTGTACACCTTAAAGGAACTCACAATCGCCGCTGTGACTCCTTTTTTGATGAAGGCAGCTTTTGTGTGTGCGTACATTCGGATGAGTAAGACACCATTTTATCTACGACCACGACCATGACAAATGAACAGACAATTAATCAGTACATAGTCTACGTACCCAACGTGTTTGGTTATTCAGTACCCTCATAGAAAAGCTTAAGAATATTACAGCGTTATGTAACAGATCAGATTAAACACCTGTGCTCCCCATGATACTAGCAACCAAAAACGTTCGAAAATCCAGAAATACTCTATTTCTGCATGATCTATTACATTGGTATCTCTGGCATATACAACTAAATACATCAAATCAGTCACAACCGCGCGAACAACATTGAGAAAACACAAGAAATAGAACAAAGAGTGAAAAGTAGGAGTCGAGCTAGGGAAATATGAACGTATCACAGTTTAAATGAGACCAACAGTGTTTCGGAGCAATGTTCTAACAAAGACTTGTTTGCATGTCACTAGTGAAAAAACTATAGGCCAGAGAATAAGCAAAACTACAAATATTGAAAGTGCTTTATATTGTCGTAACATTATCCAACTCAACCTACTTTGTTAATACCGGTTATTGCAAATGACCGACTAAAGACCACAGATGTGAATAAAAACAATTGTTACAAGACGGTTAATGTAATCAAAACCAGCAACTTGTAAAGATATTGTATGATATTAGAAAAAATGTTAGGGTTAAGAAACTGAGTGTTTTTGAAACGGATGTAAATGCTTGCACTAACCATAGAGACCCGTTCCTATTACACATGACCTATGTACAAACAATGAAAAACCTAGGATACTCTAAATATACCACTCCTAACAGCATTAGGGAATACAGCAAATGATGTTCTACCTCAAAACTCCCCATCCCGTCCCATGTCTAAGTGAAGACTTTAGAAATATAGGTTTAGTATAAATATGTTAGATACGTAAAGATAAGCCAATTAATCGTAAACATAGAAAATACCACGACTGAGAAGCATAAATGAGAAACATTCTCACAGTAGCAGTATTTCACGTCCAGAACAGTTGGGACAACAGGCGATGGTCACATTTTCGTAATTCGGTCCATTCCTTTGTAATCGCTCTTCACATGGAGATCGCGAAATTAGCGTTTTGAGATCAAGACTAGCAAAACGTTTCGCGTCAGTATTTGTGGTAGAGTTACTGAAAAATGGACGTTACTTGTCAATATTACCAATTCTCAATCGTGAAAGAGTAACTCAATATATCACTCGAGATATTAGGTTGATGCAAAAGGAATGGCCGATTTGCGAATTCTCACTTTATGTGCTATAACGTTCTAAAAGATCCACATTTCTGAATGCGGTAAAAACGCCCAGAAGCAGCAAACCTTTCGCAATACAGCGCACACTTATATATACTCAAACCATAAACGGGGAGAAACTACGGACTAAAAGACAAAAAAGGTTCTTCTGCGGGAACCTTGTTTTTGACAATTCATAACTTCCTTCAAAGTTTCTTATTATAAATGATGAGTGGCCTATCTTGTAGCCGCAAGCCAATAGTAAGCCAAAATACAATAAAAGTATTCGGACAAAAAGGTTGCGAAAAAGAGAAAAATTGAAATTTAAAATTTCTGTTTTTTAAACATTTTTTCAGTGTGCCTCAAAGTCCGGAATATAGAATTTTCTGATTTTCTAGGTACAGCTGGATGTTTTTGCAAAAACTGCTAATAAATGTCCAAGCTCTACGCTTACAAAATTGAGCAAAGCTTCGGCGACTGACTTCCTCGGAAGAAAATTATGGGTCACAAAATGACCGCAACAGCCACTCATGTTAAGGCGCCGATATATCTCAGTCTGGATAACTTCAAAGAATGCAGTTAAGTATGCATAATGTAGAAAATTTCTATCACATACAATAGCTAAATTTGCGAAGAAGTGCCATTGATACGCGCTTGAATTCTGGCCAGAAAGGTGGATGCAATGAAATTCTGAATTTGAATGCGGTCATTTGGAGCTTAGTAACTTTATAAGAAATGAGGATGAGAGCCCGTTTCAAGCACCGTTAGATAGAGCATGAAAACAGCTTCGCGACAGTATATTACATCCATCGTAAAGAAGAAGTATTGATGGAAAAAAGTTGCCCTGAAAAAAGGCTTGGAAAATCGGCCATTTCTTTTGCATCAACCTAATAATTTACTCATAATCAGCAGCGGAGCACAAAAATATGAATTGCAAGACACGCTTTAGCTAACACGAATGTGAATATGTGTAAAAATTGAATCCATTGGGAAAAAAGATAGCAAATAAAACCTGCTGCAGACCACACACAGTTTGAATGAATCGTACCTGACACTTCTGACTATTCGTTGCGCTTCACGAAGCATGCCAATCAACACTTCAGCTCGATACGTCAATTCATCAGTTCGTATAGACTGCGCAAGGAACTTAGACTTCCACACATCACGGTCGATTTTCAGATGATCTACTTCTTCGTCCTCACGAGTCAACTAGACCAATTTTTACTGCTAATTCCATCAGAACCAGAAGAAAACCAATGCACCTTTTCAGAGAATTCTTGCACTCGGTGAGCCAATCGAATTTTGTCCTCGGTGAGCGCTTGGACTTGTCCCTGCAATTCATCGCTTATCGTCGCCACCATCAATCGCTTCAGCTCTGCATTCAGCTTTCGTTCCAGTTCCAACTGCGATTTCACTTCACCCAACTCCTTTTTTAGGGCTAAGATCTAGAACAAAAATGTGTTTGATGGGTTGTTTGCTGTGCTTTCACGAAGTTCACACTCAACGCTTGGGCGAACTTATATCAAGTAAAAGAACATGTATAAACCTCATACACACCTATGGAATGAAACAAATCGGTAGTGCGCTGATGAGCGCCAATTTGCACTAAGACAAACGAAGACAAAGAGAAACAAAAATGTATGGCAAACAGCATGCAAATGGTAACTCTTGATAAGATGATCTATAAGTAAGCACTACAAAAGTTGCATCAGAATACGACTATGGCACAATGTTAAACACCATAAACATAACTATCACCTGCTCAGACTGACAATCTTCCTCAAGTCCGGCCCGATATTTACGTGCATCTACCAGGATACGCTCAGCATGCTTGTTGGAATTCTCGTCAAGCACATTCCCTCCATAAGGAATCAGCTGCGGCAAGGTTTGTGGCGCTTCACCCTTCCTGAGAGAAACAGATCATCATAAAACAGAAATTCACTACAGAAACGAACCTATCGGCACTAGGCGCGGCTTTGTACGGTTCCCATGGGACAAATCTAGGTTTCTTCATTTTCTGCGACTCCTTTGGCACGTCTATCACACCATTTTCCACTGGCTTCAGCAGATCGCCGTCGTTGAACGCTACTTGGTGATCGTATGCATGATAAAGATCTATGAGATCCATACTGAGCCGGTTATCCGCCTAAGGAGGCAGGCGCGGCCCTATCGACTCTGAACCAGCTGAACACTGAGATGTGTTCTAACGAGCGAAAAAGAAATGGAGAGCTTGTCTTCTTGATAGATCGCAAAAAAGATATATTGGATCAACAACACAAGCGAAATCGCTGCTCTTTACAGCTATTTGTCTTAATTGTGGTGTAGAAAAAGAAAAAAAGACAACGAAATGACTGGACACCTTTCAATTTCCTTCAAGCTTCATGAAACGTTCAGATGAACGGCAATTCAGCTTCCAATTAGTGAACTAAAAACAAAAAGCTTATCAAATTTCATTATTTACGAAGAAAGAAATGCGAACGACAACGTGAAAGTTCAACATGCTAAGTTGAAGTACCTGCGAAAAACGCTGAGCGCGCCGCACGTCGATAGAGCACTTCAGCTGACTTCCAACCAACATGCAGTCACCTCACTATGTAATTAAATCAACCATTCTATAAGATTTTTCTGTTCTAATCAGTAGTGCTATGGATTTGCGAATTTTCAAGCCGATAAGAAAGTTATTATTAATCTGACGGAACATTAACAGGAAATCATTCACAAGAAGATGTAACACTTGCAAACAAACAAAACACTTTGGAATTACAGTTTAACATTTCAGCTTTTCCCACACTGAGGGTGATCTAAGAAATTCAGAAGATCTATTAATTCTATACGGTCTGATGATTAAAAAACGACTTACAGAAATAACATGCAAGCAATGAAACAATAAAAACTTGAAAGCAAACAAAGTCTTACATGTTGAACAAACACATTTTCAAAATTACCCCTTCTTTTGCTTTCTCCCCTTTCCTTTTCTTCCCCTGATTGTTTTCTTGGGGGCTTCTCCAGACCTCATACGGAAAGGTGGCATTCCGGATGCGGTTTGTGAAGCATACCCTGCGGAATCGGTGCGCGTAGGACGTATTGATGGCCTCAAAAGTGCAAAATGCAAACGAATTAGAAGAGGGGTTGGAAGATTGGAAAAATGGAAAACTCACTGTCTTTTTGCCAGCAGTGGGGTAGAAGTGAACAGCTCGTTTGGCTCAAAATGTATCTCATTGTCATCGATGACCGGTCTGCAAAGGACGTTCAATATACAGAGGGCTATAAACTGGTGCTCTCTCGCAGGAGATTATCAGATTAACGCATTTTGAAAAAACATGGAAAGAACTGCATGCTTAGTGGCAGATGGGGAATGACTCTCTATTACGCATGTAATATCAAATACTTATGATATCCTACGTTTTCGGTGGTTTATTCTTCACGGGTAAGTCCTCTCTTGTGATGGTCATTTCTAGTGTGTCTGCTTGGTCTTCCAGTGAGCCAAATAGATCTCCACCATCATCTTCCTTCATCACTGTGTCGTCAAGATCCACTGCAATGTGTCGCTCTACAAGAATAAAGCTCGACAAGCGTTTGCCAACTATGTCTACGGAATTAAGTGAAAAATTACTGAATTCATCCGCCAAAATCGATGCAATTGTGTTTGTGTGCTGTAAACTGGCGCTTTTATCCTAAAAAAATACTGCTGCAAAAATCACAATCATGGTAAAAACCTACCGTAATCGGCTGACTAATTCGTGGTACGGATTCATTTGAAACCTGCTTGATTGATTTTGGTTCTGCGAAACTCTGCTTTTCAATCTAAAACAAAGATACAGAGTTTCAGTGCTAAAAACTGAGGCTACGAATGTCTACAGGTCTCGCTTGAGGAAAAAATATCAAATACCATTGAAAAAAGACTGAAAACACTTTCGATTCGAAAATAAATCCACAAATTTCTAGCAATGGCATCCAATACCATTTTAGCCAAAACAGGCAGACGTCATGAAGTGGTAAGAAAAAGCAAATAACATATCCATAAACCTTGTTCTAAGATATGATAATCCAGCTTTACCTAAAATTCCCAATTATCGACCTCATAAAATTATCTCAGCAGCAACCTATTAGGGAACGGCCATAGGTTGCCAGCAACCGTGTCCGAATCTGCTGCGGTCGCGGAGGTTGCCGGTCGTTGTAGGTCCTCGCGATAGTAAGCTATCTGACTCCAGCAACACCGGCTCTGGCAACCTCGGACACAGACAGTGGCTCGGCAGATCTGCGACTTTTAAGTATTTAGCGTTCTCGATGCCGTATGAGTTGAGTCCAAAACTGTACTTTGCAGCTTTGGAAGATATTAACTCGCTTTTCCAGACATTGAAAGCGCGGTTAGAGCGGGAAGCGAAAGCTCGCCCTCTATAGAGCGGTGGGTTCGTGGAGTCCGGATGGGTGGAGACACTCACCTATCCCTGTGACAGTTAGATCATTAGCTTCAGCAGCCAATCGTTCCACAGGGGCCAGCTTCCGCTTCCCGCTCACACAGCAGCTTTCACGTCTAGAAAAGCAAGTCATTAATATCAAAAGCTGCAAAGCACAGATTTAAACTCGCTCATCTAGGAGAGTCAAAAACGATGCATACCCCAAACTTTCGATTTGCCAGCCACTGCACTCAAGCTTTTCAAACACCACTGACATCAAATATGAGATTATCCTGAGATACATACGACCCATGAATGAAGATCTTATTTGAACTCACTCGTTTATGTTCAGCAAATTGTTGGGAATCGTGAACTTTTTCCTGAGTTTCTCTTAGAGTTGATCGACTTCGCATCACTTCGCTACTCTTGGCTCTCTGTTTCTTCATCTCTTTGACTGTGTTCTCATTCTCCTGAAAGTGCATATCTGCTGTCAGTACTGGCAAGGTAGAGACATTACATTACCTTATGTCTCTTTCGCTCTCTTCTCTCTCTTTTTCTCTGACGTTCATTATCCTTATCCTGTTTTGCCTGTTCTTCCTGTATTTGTTTCATGATGAAAGTATTCTGCAAAAAAGCATTTTGCATCTTTTGAAACTCCGGAAAATACTTACCTTTGCTACCACCAATTTTTCAGTCGCCATTTCTACCTGGTGCCTAGCAAGATGCAATTCGCCTTCGATTTCATATTTTCTGTTCTGAAGCATTACTGCTTCATTTTCATTCTGAATCACTTCCTCTTGCAAACTTTCGAGTTGAACCTATAACAGTGATAAATTGTGACTGTCAACAATACTTATTTCCTAGCACCTTCGCATTTTCAATGTTTGCAATCATATCATCTTTCTTGATACTGACATCGCGGCGAAGTTCCGAAAGTCGTTCATTCTGTAAAAAAGTAAGCTGCAAAACGGGGGACCATGTAAAAAAATCACATCTTTCGCTTGTTTCTCATTCTTCTCCTCGATTCGCTTGCGCAAGTCATTCAGTTCGTTTTGCAACTCTGCTAACTTCGTCTGCTTCTCAGAGATGGTGTTGGCATTGTCGCGATGTGTCTTTTGGAGGACTCTCATCTTTTCCATTTTAGCTATCTTGAACAGTGTAAACAAATCAAATCGAACCCATTTTCAGTATGAAGATGCCGTACCTCTGCTGTTGTTTCTTCCATCTCCTTTATATGATTTTCCTTCTTGGCAATGAGGACTTGCACTTTATCTTCGTAATCTTTCTAATAAATAGCACAGTAATGTATCTGTAGATTTTTACAAAATTCTCACCTTCAAATTCGCTAATCTTGTAGATGCATTAATTTCCTCTTTTTCCAAGTCTTTTTTTAAACCCATGAGTTCCTGCTCTGCTTGTGCCCATTGTGACTTATACTGTTCCAGTTCTTCTGATGTAACTTTGAGTTCAAGTTTCATCTCATTCTAAACTGACGATACTTGCAGCGGTCACTTTTATTCTCTTTAGATTTAACTAATTCAAGAAGTGCACAGTGACATCGATCAGCAAGAAACCGTTCTTCAAAGAAAGAGAGAAAAATGAGTGGCAGGAAAAGACGGTTAATAACGTTAAACTCGGTCGTAACTTCGACTGTTATCTGCTGTTCTCAACTGCTGATAAATGCTCACAACTATTTTAGATCTTCTTACCTGACGCTGAGTCTCAATTGCAATCTTCGCATCCAATTCTTGCAATTCACGATCCAGACCCTCTAAATCAGCATTGAGTTGTGTTACTGCAGATTCTAACTCCTCTAACTCGCTGGTATTCTTCGCCAAAACTTGCTTGAGCTAGATTTCAGTGTATCAATGGTGCTTGAGCAAAAAGAGTGCTAGAAAAGCCCGAAGGAAGACTACCTCGTCGTCTTCAGACTGAAGCTGAAGGAACTTCCTCTGTTCTTCCTCGAGCTTTAGTTCCAATGCTTCTGAAAATGAAATGTTATAATTGCACACATGATCATAACCAAAAACTAGCCAGCCGGCGTGTGCAGCTGACTTTAGCTGCTGGCAGCTTGTTGTTATCATTGTAAAAAACAGTCGGCTGTCAGTAACAAATCATACCAGATGATCGGAATGGTTACATCGCCAAAAATTCAAAGCAAATGTGTATTTGATATGCAAGTTGCTGAAATTTATATACATTGAATGAAAACATCATTACCATGCTCAGCGTCAAGTGCTGCTAGAGTATGAGTTTTCGTGGCTAGCTCTTCCTCTTTTTTCAGCCGTTCTTTACGCAAGTTCTCAATCGCCTGGATTTCAGCAACAAGAGCCTGATTGGATCAATAAGATATGAGAGAAAATCGTAGAGATACTACAGTTACCGTCATATCGAACACATTTTTCAGAACGGAAGCTTTAGCTATGACTTGATCCGCCTTTTCCCGAACTTCTGAAAAGGCTACTCGGAACATTATAACAAATAAAATTATTCACAGCACCTGAAACGAGAGTTGGATCTACAGATGCAGGATGCTGAAGATTTGTTAGGTCAATCTCTAAATTCTTTTGTTTGTTAACGAAGCACGATATGCGAGCGCGGAAGTCGGCAACTCTGGACCGGACTGCAAGTTTAGAATCATCAAAACCAAAAAAGAAGAAGGATAAAGCAGAAAATGTGCACTAACTCTCATGACTACTTCTTTGGTTAGAAACGCGTTGTTCGTCAAAACACTCCATCTCCGCAGATAGCGCTTTTGTTCTGAAAAGTTGTAGCTCATGCAGAAGTTTATTTTTGCTTTGATATGATAAATGGATATGAAAAACAAATTCTCGCTGAGCGTAGATTACAAAATTTACTGAGCAAAGGTTCCAATAATCTTCTTTCTCAGCTCTACGCGTTTCTTGCGAGCGTTCTCGCGTCTCTGTTGGCGTTCAATGTCGCTGTTTTTGTACTTCTCTACTTCCTCTTTTAATTTTGCATTGATTTCCTGAAAGGAAGTATATTCAGAGAGGAGAAAAGTACTACCGTTACAATATTTAAATACAACGATGGAGATGAGATGACTACCTTCTTCACCGAGATCGTTTTCCGAACAGTTTCCAACGAAGTCCTGTCTTCTTCTGTGCGAGATTTGAACATGGTGAACTGTGTAGCAAAATTCATCATTCCCCAACCTAAACATTTGATTAGAGATTGCGTGGCAGAAATGGGATCATCAACTGCTTGATAAACCATGCAGCAAAAACAAAAAAAAAAACAGAGAAAGCAAATCTCAAGGTTCCACCATAAGAAGGAAAAATCAGACTTTCAAGTAATTAGTAGGCGAGTCAGCGTACTATGTACTACGCAAAGAATGAATGCCACTGCGTCCAAGACAAGTTGTTTGGGTGTGGGGCGTTAGGCGACAAACCCAATTTTTTGGACCCCAAAGAGCTCCCCGTGCAAAACGTCTCCTCCGCCAAAAACAGGGGGGGGGGGGGGTGGGGGTCGGGGCCGATACATTACCCGACGGCAAAGAAAAAATGGTGCATAGTTTTGAGTTACGGGACTTACGTTGCTTGCGTTTTGCACGTTTTGTCGCCTAACGCTTGCCCTCCGTGCCAGAGTAAGCGAATATTTTGTTTAGCTTCGTTCAGCTGCAAAAGGCGCACAGAATTAATGTCTGCTGCATAATCTCTACTGCTGCCAAGGCCTGCTTCAGCTGCAGATCCCGCGCAGAATCAACGTTAATTCTGTGCGCCTTTTGCAGCTGCACGAAGCTGAACAAAATATTCGCTTACTCTGGCACCTACCGTAGCCGGCACTAGTAGTGCGTTACCCGATGGTCTTGTACTGATTTGTACGTTCCCGCGACCCATTTTGGAAAATAGTCGTGTTTTTGTCTGTTTGCGAGCCGCCATCATTGTTATTCTGAGCCCTTACATCTCCAAGTGACAAGCTCGCGTACTTACAAGTTAACTATGCAGGATGACTACTGGACACTGCCGTACAAAGCGGCGTCTCCCAAGCAAAGCGGCCTTGACGGCCCTAGCTGATGGAAATATGATGCTGTTGCTGGGACGCTTTCAGAACGTCGTGCGCAGGAAATGGACACCGTGCGTACATCTAGTACAGGTGTTGGGAAAACAACAGACAATAAAAAAGTGTAGTCTCCTTATTACAGGAACACATACAGGCAGTGTCCGGGCAATTTGGGAGCACCTCAGTCCCAACAGATTACTCAAGCAGCCTCTCCATATAGGCGCCAGACTAAGCGAATATTTTGATCAGGTGCAAAAGGCGCGCAGAATTAAAGGCACCGTCCACCCAAAATGGAGGTTGGCGAGATTATGATGGCATACTAGTGTGGGCCCTCATACTAGACCCTCCAAGCTTCGCCGCAAAAGACTGCTTCTGAAGCAAGAAATCCGCTCCGGAAGTAACAAAGTGGGCGGGGCGCCCCCGGCGGTCCACCCAACTCGAATTCAATGTTGTTGTCGTCTTCAGGCCTTCTGAAAGCCCTGATTCCGAATACGGAGTCGAAAATTCGCGAAACCCCCAAAAGTCCCTGCTTCGAGAACACTCTGCAACAAGTGCAGGCGAGATAAAGCATGCAAGTGGGCGGGGCGACAGGGGGCGCCCCGCTCACTTTTGTTACTTCCGGAGCGGATTTCTCGCTTCAGAAGCAGTCTTTTGCGGCGAAACTTGGGGGTTTGTCTATTATGGGGGCCCACACTAGTATGCCATCATAATCTCGCCAACCTCCATTTTGGGTGGACGGTGCCTTTAATGTCTGCTGCTGAGGCCTGCTTCAGCTGCAGGTCCGGGGCAGAATTAACGTTAATTCTGTGGCACCCGCCATACTTGATCCGCTTGGTCCGCTTAATCCGCTTAATCCACTTGATCCGGTTGATCCGCTTCGTGCAAAACGCGCGCGTAAGCAGTTTGTCATTTGGCGTCGCGTACAGCCAAACTGCGTAACCATACGAAATTCATTTTTACCTACGCGACGCCAAATGACAAATTGCTTATGCGCGCGCTTTGCACGAAGCGGATCAAGCGGATCAAGTGGACTAAGCGGATTAAGCGGATCAAGCGGACCAAGTATGGCGGGTGCCTGTGCGCCATTTGCAGCTGAACAAAATATTCGCTTAGTCTGGTACCTACCAAACAAGTCATAGCTACGCTGCGCAAAACGTTGTTCCTGGAGCGAGAAGATCGCTTTAGAGGTTTAAACACAGACGCGCCTCACTCGTCCTTACCGAAGGCCATGTCCCAGCACGATTTCCTCGGGGTAAGGACGAGCTGAACCGAGGGACGTTTACGTTTAGATTTCTGAAGCAGTTTTTTAACTCCAGAAGCAATATTTGCAGTCGCAATGAGGCTATCACTTGTATGGGGAGCCCGCTTTAGTAATCTGTTGAAACTGAGGTGCGCCTAAACTGCCCGGGCACGCTTTTTGTGGGGCTAAGTGGCGCCCTGTTTTAGAGATAGAAGACGTTACCTATGTCTTGTGTCGCGCGGACATCTGCAACAAACCAGGCACTTCACGCATAAGATAACACGCAACGCTGAGGTTCACTGACACTCGCACATGGAATAGCATATACGGTTTGTTTCAGTTCAACCAAATTGAAATGGCTGGCGCACGCACGATTTTGCAACAAACAAAGGAAGGATACTTGGTGACCGTGGCCATTCATAATAATTTGGTCATCAAAAAGTGCTCCTTTTGATGCTGGTTCAAATACTTTCTTCCATATCTGCGAAACGATGACCTGTATGGAGTTATGATCATTTTTTCATGGAGAAATTGCGCTACTGCGGAGGGTCAAATTTCATCAATAAAAATTTTCGGCGCTATTCCACATTAGTTGACCCAGAAAGTGGAAATTCCGAAATTCGCTAAAGCTTTGTCTAGGGGATTATTTGATACGAACACGAATATAATGTTTATTTCGCGCGCCAGCGCCATCCGGTGGAGTTACGGTAGACTTTCGGGCAAATTCGTGTTTAGCCCCTGCTGTAATCCTACCGCAACTCCACCGGATGGCGCTACCGCACGAAACAAACATCATAGTCGTGATCAGCATGCTAATTAACCCCCTAAACGAACTTTAGGGCAAATCCGTAATTTTGACCCTCCTACCGTAATCCCACCGTAACTCCACCGGATGGTGCGATAGCGCGAAATTAACATCATATTCGTGTTCAGCGTACCAGATAACCTCCTTGGACGAAGTTTCAGCGAAATTAAAGATTTCATGTTTTGGGACAACTAATGTGGAATAGTACCAAATTCTTTCTTTTTGAAATGCTAGATATGATTTAGATAGGCATAAATAAAACAGCACTTCATTAAGGATTCTTTTAGATAGCTTCAAACGGTTACCTATGACAAATTTGGTGATTTTAACCACCCAAAAGTACGCTCTACGAAAAAAGTTCATAACTTCGTACAGAAGATCGTTTCGCAGACATCAAGCGCACATTTAGAATCAGCGATTTGAGGTGCATCTTAATTTATACATCGCAGTCCAAATGGCCACGGTCACTGAGTACCCTTTTCTCGTAAGGTGGGGCCAGACTCACCCGCTCAGCCGCTTCATCAGGGGCCGTATTCATTAACGAACCTAGTGGGTTCCGGAACCCATTGGGTTCGCGAACCCAATGAATTCCGTGGTTCGCGAATCCACTGGGTAAGATCGGTATTCACAAGTGCTCCGCTGGGTTCGCCAACCTATGACGCCACCATTGTGCCTCCTCTAGTCGGTGTATCATTTTCCTCATTTTCCCACGCACAGGGATCGTGCTTGAAAGCGTCAACACGCTTGATACGCTTTCGAGGACTCTTATGTTCGTATGGATGACATGAATCAATGTCTCTTGTGCAACAAAACTTGCACTTCCCTTATTCTGTCTTATTCGAGTATTCTTTCGGACCCCTACATGACTGTCAACGATAATATGTGTGGAAATGGATGCAAAATGGATGCAGAAAGAGGGTTCTTCTAGACATTCAAATACATAAACACGAATGCAGGCAGACGCTCTGCTTCCTATACATATGAGGCTCCCTCTGTAGTCGCAGCAAAATCAGAAAAATTCTGAGATAGCTTGAGCAAACATCGGCAAGTGCCTAGGCTGTTTACAATTTGACGCAAAAAATCTCCGTTAAAAAGCTTGTTGCGACTTTTCGGAGACTGCCAAATTGTGACCGGCATCAAGTTTAATCAAAATTTATCTAACAAAATTCCTTTCAGTTATGAAAAATTTGGGAAGTGTTTCTAATGTATAAGTTTGCTAGTATTAACATCCCTGCTAATAAAAGTCTCTTCATAATATTCAGCAAAGGGACTGGGTTCGCATGTAACCCACTAAGGAATTTGCGCCGTGCCTGGGTTCAACCCAGCGCTCAGCCGGTTTCGGAACCGACGAGAACTGGGTAACTTGTTTCGTGAATACCGGTATGATTGCTTTTGGGTTCGTGAACCCACTGGGTTCGTTCATGAATACCGGTTAAGTGGCTTTTTGTGGGTTCCGGAACCCACTAGTTTCGTGAATACCGATTTTGTGGGTTGAGCCTACCCAATGGGTTCTGGAACCCACTGGGTTCGTTGATGAATACGGCCACAGATGGCGCCAGACTCATCTTAGCTGTTTACTTAATTCATGTTTACGTCATCTACCTCGCCATTGGTCAGATCAGTTTTGAGCAATAGTAAAGCAGCTAAGCAGATATGTCTTTGCTCTTTCCTACGTATATCATATCGCAGAATGCATTTTCGTCTCTTCATTCTCGTCAATCTCTAACACTCACAAAAGCTTCGGCCACGCGGACGCGCAGCTCCACATGAGATTTTTCGGTTGAACAGACTGTAAGCGTATAAGCGTATACTGCCTTCTTGAGCAATTGATTTCAACTCGCCTATGGTGAACGAGAAGATTTGGACGAGTTAAGTCAGAGATTACTGAGGACGAAACCTCGCACAGTTTTCATGAGGCTCCCGCGTAACGATGTTTACTAAATCACTCTTAATACTTCTACTCATTCTAACAGAGAAGATCTTTGCTCAGCAAAGACTAATTTGGCTCAGTCGCTATTTTTGCCCTCATCTTCCTCATAGAGCGCTTTCAAATGAGTCTGATGATTGTTGACGTTCACGAATGCATTCATTCCTTTCAAACACTTCGCATCAATTCAAATGTTATGAAGTGAAGATGAGTTTCTTTTATGCTGATATGAAGTAATTGATCAGACGTGTATGAAGTTTGTAGTTTGGTCCGTAATTATTATAGAATGTATAGATGTAATTAACGTCATTTTTGATTCAAAGCGCCGCAATATTTAGCCAATGCCTTTATAAGTAAATTTGTTCAAGCACATGTCAACAAAGTTCTGACAGCATTATAATCAGACCTTTTTTTAATAACCATAAGCTAGCTCAAAATTTGATTGCTAAAGGAGAGAATATGGTTTGCCTGATATCATATTGGCGTTTGCAAAAAACTTCCTGACAGCGTCAAAGATCAGGAAGAAAAAAAATTACAATCAAAATAATAGTTCTGAGCTCTATTTGTCCTGCAAAACTCAATTTGTTTTTTTTTTAAACTTTACTACCTCTGTTGGTGTACAGCTACTATGTACCACTCAAAAAAAGCATTATATCCTGAAAAAATTTCAACACGGAAGTTTTCCAAAGGGGCATCAGGATAGGACTGAATCCACTTATCTCACTGTTCACCTGGATACTATTAGGTTGTCCGGAAATTAATGCAGACTCCTCACGCTCTTATGGCAGAGTTTACAAAGGTGAAAAATTTATTTGATAGAACAACGCAAACTTTATATGGTATATGAAATTATGACTCAATTCAGTAAGTTTGAAAGCACCCAAAAAATTCTACCCGTTTGAAATTCAGAACTCAGAAAAGATCTTACGAGTCTCTAACTTGGTCATGCATATACAGCGCACATAATATTTTTGTAAAGTCATTGTATAACATTTAGTTATTTATTTAAATCAAGAAACAAAGATTAAGACATACAAAAATGTTGACTTTTTTATTTTTCAGTGCTACTTTTGAAACTTCTCATTTACTAGTTTAACAGAATGACGTTAATCAAAATAATTTCATCATTAAAATAGCTTAGGGACTTTTAAGGACTGCTCTGGCAAATTAGGTATAGAGCAAGCAGACTCCATCTAGATTCAACGGCAATTTTACTCAGATCAAGTGCTTCTGAACATCTTTACATCGACGTATTTAAATTCTTATTCAGTTCTAATTCTTGCCCGTTACCGTGCTCGACAAACCAATTGAAGAAAACAGTACGGCACTGGGCGATAGTTTGGAGCTGAATTTTTCGGCCACGAGCGCATTATACCGCCAAATAAATGTTTCATACAGAACTTCTCAGTCAGTTTCCATGCAGGAAGTCTAATATGTTAAATGTTGTTGGACACTGTTTTTGTATCCGTAGTGTCCATTTTGATGAGAGCAGCTGATACATTTTCAGCTGATTGAAGTCTCGGATTTTCACTTACTACTACTTACGGAATCATAGGCGAAAGTGAGGCTGAGTTGATAAAATCGAGCAAAACGTGGCGATAAAATCTGGTAATTCAACTCTAAAAAAATTAAAATTTTATGGCCCTGATTAAAATTGCTGCACAATTCATTGCTGCCTCAAACTTTCCAGAATATTATAGTCGGTAACAATTTTTTGGAATACTTATTTTACGGACTTATATAGGGATAAGACATTTTTGAGAGCTTTAGTGCTGTGTAAATTGATGCTATTAATTTTTTCAAGACAGGCTTGTTTCGGTATATCGTAGAAAAGTCTTTTTGTCATAATGTTAAAAAACCAGCAGTCATTTCAGCTGTCAGTTTTTTGAAGCCCTTACTGGCCATTCAACACATTTTTTCAAGACTTGAAAAACATTAAAACTTGACTATAAACTGAGTGGAATATGATAATGAGAACATTAAAACTTGATTATAATTGCTATATCTGCTTTTTCAAACATTATAGTTTGAAGCTAGCTAATGACTCTTTTCTATTTCAAGCACATAGAAGTTTTCTTTGCGGATGACTTAGCAATTTTCTCTTTTTTTGCATCTAAGATGCATCCTTTAACAATTTCTTTCTGCTTCTTGTTTATTGACAACTGCTGCAATGTGTTCCTTATAATTTACACCTACGTCGCATTGTTATAGTGTTATTAAAGGCGAGAATGGGTGGAGTTAGACGTTATTCGAGACAGCTCTAGTTTCCTTTGGCAGCTGTTTTCGTCCATTTAACAAATCAACTAGTGAGCTTGGTGACTTCGATAAAAAGTCTACGATCTTACAGCTTGCTGGAATGACGGAAATGCAGGAAGGCGACAGTCCACATTCAGGTGAGTAGCTTTTTTGGTACGGTAATCTCAATTTGAAAGTTCAGAAACTGTTTGTCGGGGCTAATCAGCCTAACAGACTTTTAACCAAACTACACGAAAAATGAATATTGCCTCATTTGTTGGATAGTAGCCAAAAGCCAAAACCTTTGTATTAGGTTGTCCCGAAAGTTTTGTCGGTTTTTTTCGTCGCTCACCAAACCTCACAGAACACCGATCCATTGACGGCTTAAGTGTCATTCTATTCATTTTTGTATCCTCTTTCTTACAGCTATATTTGTTCCCTAATCTACTCCGTCTTTACGACGTTATCGCCATGGCTTTTTGAGCACCTCAGCAGTAGCGCCAAAATTTTCCTGAATTTTCAAAATTTTTATCTTGATAATTTCGATGAGCGCTGGTGACTGTTATGTAGGGCAAACCTTTGGCTACATTGTACCTATTTTAGATTACGTGGGCCACGTTTATAATGTCCGTAATAATTATTTATTTGAGAAAAACCGCGGCTTTTTGAACACGTTTTATCACGTAAAATTACCGAAAATTCCAAAAAGCTGACTTTTGAAGCAAATCAAACTTGGTTATGTTGCATAAATGATGTTAAATAACAAACGAGTTTGAATTCGCAAAAACTCAAAAGCTTTCATGCTTTTGCTGCAATTGCGCGTTTCATGACTTTGCTAAAAACCAAGGCCTCCGGAGAAATAATTTTTTGAAATTAAAATCAGCGGATTAGGAGAATCTAAAAATATGAACTTGTAGCCCGAGAGTTGCTCTATTTGACCCATACTTAGCCTTTTTCGAAACTTTGTAATGAAATTTTTTGAAAATTAGCTCAACTTTGAGCAGGTAAAATTGACAGGTGGAGAATTTTGGCAATTATCAAAAAAAGCATACAAGATTATGGTATGAAAGTGTATTCATAAGAAAGAGAAGGAAAAGCTGCCTCGAATGCACGTTGAAACTCACTCAAATCTTCATTGTGCGTGGTTTTACAGTGGTTTGAAAAAACCGACAAAACTTTCGGGACAACCTAATATTTTCATACGAAATTGCTTTTCATATAAATCATGCTCAATGATAAAAATCTTGGGCTGAAAAGTCAAGGATATTTGATTAGATTTGAAATAATTTTAACTCTGCTATTTTTAGCGTTTCCCAGATATTTCTTCTTTTTTTTGGTAAATTTGAGAATGAAGGAAAAATCTAGTAGAGCAGAACCCTTTAAGCTTCCTGTCTAGACCTTATTTCGTTTCCTTGAAAAACAATGCCATTTGAATCCATTTACAACCATCCTCCTCACCTAATTAAATTCCTGAAACAAAATGCTTACTAAAGATTTTTGAATTACTTGCATCAATGCGTCACACTCAGAGCAAACCTTATGCACAAAGTCTTCGATTGCTATAATTCATATAAAGTGGACACGGGTTATTTATCTCTGTTTACGTGCTGAACAATATGCTTAATGAAAAGACAGCAGAACGGGCGGGCTTTGAGCTGGTAGCCTTTTTTCAAACGCTTTCGATTATTCACTAGTTTTCATTCGTAATTTGCAACATATGCAAATTGAAAAAGGTGGGCTTATAATACTCATTTCATCCTGCAAAATAATCAAGTACCTAAAACTATAAGATCAACGGACCAAAAAACCCTAAAGCAAACTTTTTTTTTGATAAATTCCATTTGCAAGTCGGAGCGCAGCTGGTTATTAGTTTACAAATCTGATTTTATGATTAACTTTCTCACTTTCGATAGCGAATTTCCATATTCGTGCTGTACTGCTCATATCCAAGACTTCAAATTCCATAGTTCTAGACTAGGATTCATTCCAGGATGTCTACAGGTAAGAAGCTATAACTACAATCAAGCACTTTGGAATCGCAGCTGCGAAATTTTTCTAAAAAATTATTTGACATTCTCACCATTAGAGGTTCTAGAAATTTCCTGCTGATCTTTTAGCGCTGCTAAGCGTTATTGTAAGTAATTATATCATTCTGCCAAAGAGGGATTCTATTAAAGCGTGTTTCAGGACAGTTTTTTTTTCATCAAAACTTTTTTGAAAAAAATTTAACATGGTTTTGAGAAACTCTTTTCATGCCCTGTCTAATGGTGATTAAAACGGACTTTTGAGCCTCTGTTAAAATTTTACAGAGCTTCACATAGCCGCACTCAAAACCAAAATCTCATTACATTCATTTCTTTAGCCAGAACGAAACGAATTATGAATAAATAATAAATAACAATAAATAATAACGAATTTCAAACGAATTATGCACAACTACTGCATATGGTGGAAATCATCTACACGCACACTTAAATATATCCTTTGAAATTAAATAAATTCAAATTAATAAATTTAAAAAAATAAAAAAATAAATGAATTTAAAATAAATATTTAAATTAAATAAATTTTGAATTTTTGTCTGAACCTTTTACATCTTTATTTGTACCGCTGCCTTACGACTACAAAATATGTAGGCTACTTATCATTCATATCAACAATCTGTAAAGTAAGTACTGCGTATTCTGAAGTCCACTCTTGCGCTCATTAAGTCCAAACCATCCCAACGATGGGTGTGGCGACCCCAGCAGCATCTATCTACCGGAACGATGTTCTCACTATGAAATACACTTTTTACAGTGGGATTTCGGCAATCACTTAGTTAGGGGCCTCGCTATTGCACCACATCAAAATTTGATTGACTTCATATATGAGTAGACGATGCCTTTGATCCCAAGTGTCCCTCGTCCTCAAAATCGTTTTTGTTATACTTTCCAATGACTAACCTTTCCCTTTATCATGCTAATACATGGGTTATGGTTGTTTATCGCGCTCTTGCAATACAAGGATTCACGTTATCTGCTGAACTGTCGGACATAAATTCCCTTATCCCAGACAAAAACGGTTGATTACAATAATTTCTTTGCAAACAGCTACCTAACATGCACCTTCTACTATCTTGAAACTGTTATTAACGCTTCGCAGTTCTGATAATTTCTGAAGGTGCAGCACAAACAAGCTAAATAGCGTATTTTTTTAACTTTCGCAAAACAAGTTCTACCCTTTGTGCGTTTGCCACTTCAAATTACCTGACATCATACTTTCACCATTATTGCCACCACAATGGCCCCAATTACATTTGAAATTAGCTGATATTTTTACAAAACAACACGCATAATGTTTTGATGGTAACTGCTATGTTGATCTTTATCAGTAACTGTATGTTTGAAGTGAGACGAATGATTGAGAAAGGAAAGTGCTTTATAAGGTTAGTAACTCGAATTGCCAAGAAGAAAGACATCATCTTTCAGAAAGCAGAAATGTCAGCCACTTGGCCTCGTTTTCGACATATCTTTACAATTTCTCACACTTGTAATATTAAGAGTACTGTAGTTTCACATATTGTTCGTTTTTGCATAATCCGAAACGCTTCGATAACCTAATGGAAATGTTGAAGGTGAATGTGCATAAGAATTTTGCCTTCCTTTTCCTGGCCTTCTCGAAAAATTCCTATATTTTTGCTCTAAAGAGGATACAGACTCTATACAGCGTCCAGAGCTCATGTGCCGACGCTGTGTCAGCGTCGTTGGACCGCCGTTGGAACGGCGTTGGCGCGCATGGCTCTGGAAAAAACTGGACGAGCCAGAATGCGGGGAAGTGTTCTGATGGTTTTGCTTGACTCTATCTCAGTTCTAGGATACACTCAAAATATTGTAAAGGGCATCGTTTTTTTATTCAGCGGATTATATCTAAGGAGTATACGCTGTTGTCCCCCCCCCCTCCTAATCTTTTTCAATCTCAATGATAAATCAAACAAGAAGGGATATTTGCAATCCTGTTTCAAAGAATCTGGCCCCTTTAAATCAAAATTCTAGAAAACTTCATGATGACAAGATTTTGCCATCTTTCACTACAACAAAATTTTTGTGAGAGAATTTCTATCTAGTAACAGCAAGACGAAAGATGTTCAATGATATCTTGACTTTTCCCAGCAATCAAGAAAATAAGGAACAACTATCGTATGCGAGAATTCACACGACATACGCGTAATGCTCCCGCCAGGTCTGTTTTACTTCCTCCGTATCTTCAATAGAAACCAAAAACTCTCAGAAGTGGATTATCAACCAAATTTTTGCTGCCTAATGCTTTGCCAAATTGAAATTGATATAAATCCGGAGTAAACGAAACCAAACAAGAAATATATTAATAGGTGGTACCTATAAGTGCATTGAATAACTTTTATAAATTACGCAGTAAGCAAAGTCATTTTTAGCTCTAATAATGAAATTGCATTTGTATCAACCATATTAATGGTGTTATGAGTCTGTTTATGATAGGCTACTGTGACAGAACGAGCCTGTAAACTTTCGCGCACAACTTCAGAGACAGAACAGTAAAGAGTAAAACTAAGGGAATCATTTTCTTGGTGACTTCTACCCAGGAAACCAACATGACTGGAAACAAAAAATGCCCAGCTCACATTTTCTTATTATCTCATCTCGAAAGCTTATGGGAAGTCAAGTGAAAGTGGACGAACGTTAAAAGATAGTTCCAGTTGCTTGGGAAGTTAGAAAAATTAGCATTTATTTTTTACTCAAAATTTCTCTGGGAAGAGAGAACGGACCATTCTTCGCGCTACAGCGGCGCTTTTTTACTAAAACACCAGACAATATTTCAACAATAGCCTTCTTTTTGATATCCGCTGCAGTCGCTAAGGCTAAGCGTTTTAGAGTAAAAAAAAGATAACAACCTTGTTATCTGTATTACCGTTAATGGAAATGCGACTGTGAATGAGTTGCTGTAATTTGATTTGATATCTAAATAGTTGACTGCACGGAATCGCCCGGATTGAACGCCCGCGCGCGTGTCTCTGGCGGGCTAACATTGGTATGCGCGCGCATGAGTCATCATAGCGCCTGTACACGGCAGCCGCGTTGCAGGCACGCTCGCGAGCGTTCAGCCTACAGCAACCCGGACGATTTCGTGTTGTCGACTTTACCAAGGCTGGGGTTGAAGAATATTTTTTTCTGTTTTCTTGGGAGTGATTTTATTGCGTGAATTACAAACGGTTTATTGGTAGAAGATGTGTAGAGATGGATAGACGCTTTGATTTCTAATCAACACTTACCATATTTTCACCACGGAAAATTTACTTTTCGATAATTAATTCTAATTTAGTTTGGAATCTAATCTATTTTTCTTTGATGTTTGTTGCACTAATTTCTTAACTGTGCTAATTACTTCTATAATAAACAATGATGACTATCAACAACAGTGATTATAGCCACAAGAGACCAATTCGTGAGACAGATGGGCTACAAATCTGCGAAAATTTTATCATAATAAATTTTCACTGTCTGGTTTCAGTACTGTGCAGTCCATGTTCGAAAACTACTGTTGACTAGGTTTACTCGAGTAGCTAAGGCTGACATTAATTATACTAGCAACTAAGGCTTTGTTTTTCCAGAATCCTTCCAACAACAACAATTTACTGAGTGAATGGTGGCGGTAACCAGTGTAATGCCACCGTAATTTACCCTGTTCCCACGATTCTACACATAAATATGTGACACACTGTGATAAAACCACAACATATCAGCTTCCTCGTCTTATTACGTTTTCGTTAGCATCGGCGAGGTGCTTACTTCTCTATATGGTTCCCTGACAGATTTCTAATTTACAAAAAAGAAGCAGACAAAGGCAGGTGTCGTACTTGCAACACCTGCTTGAACATTGAATTAGGTTGATTTAGTGAGTGCAAAGGTCTATTATATTGAGTAATTTATGCAACTTAGTTTAATATTTTCATTATCTAAGAACTGCAAAAAGACTTTGTACAGAATTGTCTAATCTAGCTGCAGCTGTTTTGCCATTATTATTCATCAGTCATAAACCGCAGAGATTTGCTAATCTTAATCGCTGCATAAAAATGTGATTTCTCAAGCTAGCAGCAATTTTTATACAGTAGCTAACAAACTGTGATACATCACTTTCTTTCGTTTTTTTTTGATTTTGGAATCATGAGCCACGGAATGGAAAGGCATCAAGTATACCCAAGATTTTTGGATAGACTTGGAATCTTTCTTTAACCAAAAAAGACCGTAAAGAGTGCAAGAAAAGTCCACAATATGGGAGTAATATGTATGGTAGTCCACAAAATTTTTTTTTATTTCCCGGTAACGGTCTGGGGTTAACAGATATAGGCAATTCATCGTACGTAGAGACAGGTCGCCGCTGCGGACCATGTCGGCGTCTCTCAGATTTGACGCACTTTCGTTCCTCTCACCGTCTCTGTCTCTCTCAACACGTACTCTCTCAGCGCTGACGCAACGGACCTAGTCCATGCGCAGGATGAATCGCCTATACATTCCCAAATCAAAATCATGATCTCAAAATCAGATTTTGTAGTCCTTTGTTTTTAGGTTGCTCTCTCTATTTATTTATTTACAATAATAAATGTTTTCAGTCATTAAATCGCCGAACATCTTCCTGATGTTCGATTGGCAGACATTATTGCTGACAATAGTAGCAGCGCTAACGATTCCTCTCTACATCAGAATTCTCTACGTTTTACTACGTCATCGCTCAAAACATCGGTTTTATTCGCATTTCTACACTATTACTATATCTCAGGTAAGCAAAAGACAGTCTGTTTGTTAAGTTTGCTCATATAGTTTCTATTTCTTAGTTGTTTCTACTCTACAATTTCTCAATTTCAGTCTTTTTTGGTAGAATATAACACAGACTTTGACAAAGGTCTGATAGCTTCAATTTGTTGCAGTTCATGCACTCTAGTAGCCTGCAAAATCTCGAAAATTATGGATAGAATCAAGTTGTGCAAAGATAAGGAGTAAAATCTATAGAAGGAATGTCCGCTCCGTTCCTTCTCTTAGATGGATAAGATATGATTAATAAGGGAGAAAATCTTGTATAATTCAAAAAATAAATACTTAGCGCTATTAACACAGAACTCTTTTATTTTGTTTGTTTTTTGATTTAGTTACAGATTTTTCTCCATAGCCACGATATTTACCGCTATGACGTGTTTTTACTAGTCTTATTAACGTAATTAAGAATGTTTATCGCCACGTTCGTAACTGGAACGGTTGCAGAAAGTGGTCATTATAGCATTTATATTAATTATAACCTTCGTAAACATATAATAATAGAGTGGGTTTGTTCGGAACTGGTAAATACAACTTAAGCAGTCTGAACACATGAGTAACATTTTGTGCGGGGAGCAACTTCTCCCGACAACTTTGTACAAAAATGTGTAAAATCAGTATTTCCTTTCGAATGCAGAATGTTAAAACAACATATGGCAGAGCAGAACAATCTATCAAATAACTGGAATAGCGTAAAGCCAAAATAGCATGTTATTTTAACTTGTCTGCGTGCATAAACTTCAAGGCCAGGCGACTGTCTGACAATACCAGGTACGGTTTGTCTCAACCATGGTGTCCCATTGCACCGATATGTCCACTTCATGAAAGCTTCGCGCGGCATTATCGAACATTTAGTTTGAGCGGTAGAATTGGTCTCATTGATTAGAAATCGGCTACAAAACCCTCCCGATGCAAAGGCGTAGCCACACGCAGAAGGGACACCGCGGTTGAGATAGACGGTACCCCCCCCCTGCCACCAACGTAGACGCGCTTCTGATAGAGTCTGTCTCAATTATGTATTCGCTTTAGCGTACAAATTACGCATCCGCAACGCTATGGTCTTGCGCGGGCATCTAACTGACAAGATCAAGTTGCATGCCCAAGCTACGTGCGCAAATGAGGCGCGTGACGTGCAAGGCCACTGGAGAAGGAATACGTGATTGAGACATGGTATTTTGACGGGACCTTTGCGCGTCAAACTGCGCGCGTCAGGTTTTTGTCAGCTAACACGCGTCCGCCATGCAGAGGTATTAGCTCTAGAGTTTCCACCTGAGAATAAGCACTGAAAAACGTTTTCGTATAAATTTAGATCAAGAACGATATTCCAGGGTTTATAAATCCTAAAATACTCAGAATTCTCATCAATGTTTTATTTCAGGGTTTTGTGGATATTATTGGTTTTTTCTGTTACTATACAAGCGTGAATCTGCGAAGTCTAGAGCCCTTAAAACCATTCTACTGGAGTCTGAACGATACGTTTTTTGTTCAGTGGTCATATATGCAAACCTATCTGTTCGAATATGCTCGAATTATCGGTGTAGTGTTAATCTCCATTCAACGATGTTCCACTGTGTCGTACCCGCATACTCGCTTTAATCACGTAAGTTAACAACTTTTTTTGAATTTTGAACTAGTATTGTACTGGATAGTCTAGAGTCTATCTCAATGTGAGTGCCAAAACTTCAACGGCTCCGGTCGTTGCGGCCGCTCCGCTCAGCTCTTGCGCGTCGTCCGCCGAGTACTCTAGGCCATTTTCCCACCGCCTGAAGCAACGACTGAATACGGACGAGCGTGGAAAAATGTTCAAAGGAACGTTTGTGAACGAGGCGCAAACTATAGCGAAGCGTTCTTGCTTGACCCCGCCCTGGAACTTTGATAATCACATTGAAACGGCATGTCCGTAATATATTAGCAGTGCATCTACAGTGCCGCAATTGCACGTAAAATAGCGTGTGCACAGTATCTAAATAAACTTTGTTGCGTTTACGCGCAAATGTTGTCAGCATCGCAGGTGCACTAGAATGCGTTTTTATTTGAGACTTCACATAGGGACCTTTCTAAGGGTGAGATAGAGTTTTGTGGAAGATGGACACGCTTAGAGCGGAATACCTTTAGCTCATTCAGTGGATATGTAGACGTGAAAGTTCAAGCATATGCGAGATACAAGGGCGCAAAAACTGCAAAAATAATCCTGCAGCAAGTTTTCCGGGACGTCGTCAGTACCCTAGATTTTATCTCTGTGTAGGTCGTAAGTTGCAGAACACACACCCCGCTGCCAAACTCTGTACCAGTGCAAGTTAACTACCGTAGAAGTCGTGCTCTTGCCATATTTCAGCAGCGCCGCCGTTCCGCAATTACAGCCAATCCGTGCGGTCGACGACTCGACGATAGACCGTTACATCAAATGTACGCATATGACTCGTTTTAGCACTTGATACGGCTGCCGCCATGGGTATTTTTTGCGGTTCAATATATAACTCCTATTTTCCTCTGTGCCAATATGTTTTTCGTTCCAATGCGGTTCAACGAGCAATCAACGCTCAATGTTGTCATCAGCAAAGAAGTGCTCAAGGTGATTCAAGCTTTCTTCGTTTGTTTTGAGCACGTGTTCTATCTGCGACTAAAAGATGTCGAACCGCGCAGCTGCAAAGGTTGCAGCGCGTGCACGCGAACATTGACTTGACACAACATGTTCGTGATTTTACGAAGAGATTGCTTGCAGGGTCACTATCTAAAATCTGCACTGATTCCACTAATTGCAATCATTATCTGCTCAATAGCTTACGGAGCGATTCTTCGTACTCTACGCGATCACTCTATCCATACGTATGTTCTTACCATTCATTTGCAGCAGATGAACAGGTCCTTACGACTATTTACAGACGACGAAAAGATGTTCGAATGAGTGTTCAAGTTATCGGACTACTGATTGCCCTTATAATTACATGCATACACTTTTGTATGCAATTTTACTTCAACTATCAAGAGGTAAATTTGAACTTTCTTTTTTTTATCTGGTTAACAAACAAATTAAAGGCACTGTCTCAGGATTTTGTTTTTCAGATTTTCACCCCTTCAGAGCCTTCTCGCCATAAGGAACCCATAGAGCATGAAAATGGCAAAACTGAACTTTTTCCGAAGCTTTCCAGTCCGCAATTAGGATGAGCCGGAAAAAGCCGCGCTCCGCCTTCCTCGTTCCAGGCACCGCCCACTTCTCCACGGAATGTGGACCTGGAAAGCTTCGAAAAAAGCTCATTTTTGCCATTTCCATGCGCTAAAAAGCGAAGATATGGGTCGTTATGTTATGACGAGAAAGTTTCAAAAGCTGAAAATCTGGAAAACGAGATCCAGAAACACTGCCTTTAAAGGTTGAATTAGTGTGAGTGTTAAAGCTTCAGCGGCTCGGGTCATCGCAACCGCGGTGCTCGAGTTTTGCGCCGCGTCCTCGGACGCCTCCTCAGGGCATTTTCCGATGCCTAAGATAGAGACTGCGTACTGAGAGCGTCGGAAAATGCCCAAGAGATACGCACGCATACGCGGCGCAAAGCCGAGCGAAGCGGCTGCCCGGGACCCGACCGCTGGGCTTTGACACTTATATTGAGCCAGCGTATATCTCAAATTCGTTGAATATGTCCAAAACAACAACCATAGTTTCCTTATTTCAGATGGTGGATTGGGTTTACTTTATGCGGTACTTCACACCATTATGGGTTGGACTGCTCACATTTATCAATCCTTGGATGATTATCATTATGAATGCGGAATTACGACATCTTGTATTGGGACGGCATGCCGTACCAGAAGCGAGCACTATTCATCCAGTAATTAGAAGTTCCATGTTAGTTACTGTAGTTTCTCAGAGACCATCCACAAACTGATTTTGCAGGACTGGGAGAAAATCTCAACATTGATGAGGCGGGTTTCTTTCATCTTGTATATAATTACTCATAGTTGTACATAAAGATTTTTATGCAAATAGCTATAACAATAATTAATGTTCCATCAAGCCCACAAATGACCAAAATATTAAACGTAAAATGTTTGAATCCAGCACTTATACACTAAAACATATTAGGTTGTTAAGAAAATAATGTCCGTTTTTATTTGGTTGCTTTAACAAAGCAATCAAACTCAACCCAACAAAGGGTAAGGGGTACTGTTCGATAGAGCAAAGCAAGCTATACAAGATGGCACTCATGTCTTTGCGCCATGCTCGATCCACGGAGAGTTCGAACTCAAAATCTAACGATTTCCAAATGCCCAAAAAATCGAAAAAAAATCAGATCTTCGTCAAAATAATTTCTACGGACCTCCCACTCGCTCACATCAATACTATCGATATCCGATATCCATATGTGCGATTGCCGTATTTTTTCCTTGACTAGAAACTGAGAAAACGAAAATTTCCCTGATTTTCTCAAAGCAATGCTGAACTGTTTTTGCATATGTAGTTCTATACTACGAGCCTAGGTAAGCATAACTGTAGGTTTTCAGACTATTTCGAGCGGTACTTTTCGAGAAATGTCGATTTTAGCACTGAAACTAAAACGAAAAAATCCGAATTCGTTATTTTTCGAAAACTACCGCTTGGAATGGGCTGAAAATCTACAGTTATACTTATCTAGGCTTGTAGTATAGAACTACGTATGCAAAAACGGCTCAGCATTGCTTTGAGAAAATCAGGGAAATTTTCGTTTTCTCAGTTTCTAGTCAAGGAAAAAATACGGCAATCGCACATATGGATATCAGATATCGATAGTATTGATGTGAGCGAGTGGGAGGTCCGTAGAAATTATTTGGACGAAGATCTGATTTTTTTCGATTTTTTGGGCATTTGGAAATCGTTAGATTTTGAGTTCGAATGCTCCGTGGATCGAGCATGGTGCAAAGACATGAGTGCCATCTTGTAGAGCTTGCTTTGCTCTATCGAAAAGTATCCCTTACCCTTTGTTGGGTTGAGTTTGGTTGCTTTGTTAAAGCAAGCAAATAAAAACGGACATTATTTTCTTGACAACCTAATAAAAAAATTTTTATTTTCATTTCCGAGCTACAGGAAAATATTTCCGAGCCAGAAAAATGCCCATATACCACAGAAACGTTGACAAAGTTTCTTCGATGTAAATAATCATTTATTAGGTTTCTACTCAACACAAGCTTGAACAGCAATAGTTTACAACCCAAAGATGTTTCTATCACAACTACACGTACCCATTTTGACATGCAAAAATGACCTCGAACCCTGCGACAAAGATTCACAGGAGTACATCTCAAAACATACTGAAAAGGTTTGATGATTTGCTGAGTAGGTAATAAGGAATACATACAGGTAAAAAATGAAAGTGGTGGGAGAGATGACCAGACTAGGTTACTCCACCATAACACAGATGTTAAACTGGCTTGGATATTGTGCTCGACTTGTATGGGAGCAACTGCTCTTTCTCACCATGAAACAATCACCCAACAGACTTCAAAACAGGTTTGATCAGACAACATCAGTGACTATTGGAGTAAAAATAAGAATATTTAACAGTGTGAAATCATATTCAACATGCTTTGGAGGCAAGAAAAAGCGGTGTTCGGGAAGTATACAACGAAGAGCTAACCGCTTATCTCTTACAAAAATTGAGTCGAGTTCCCATTCCAATTCGCATTGTCATCTTCCGAATCATCGTTAGTATTGTGAAGTCTGGTCACATTGCCTCGCTAAAAAAGAGTACAATATGGTTTTGAAGCATAAGTAGTACAAAAATGTACAGAAACTTTCAAGTGGTCAAAAATGGATGATAACAGTCAAAGAAAACCTTCTCCCAATTCAATTTCACAACAGTTTTTGACAAGCAAAAATCATTTTGGGGCCGCATGCACTAACATCCCTGCGGCGAGGAGAGCGGCGTCCCCAATGATGAAAAGGCCGCAGCGGTGTTCGCACGCGGTTCCTTCATAACGGGGGACGCCGCTCCCCTCGCCGCAAAAATATTAGTGCATACGGGCCTTGGTCTCCTGTTCAAAGCGGAACTTATCTTGCGTCAAAGGAGGGAGCGGAGTACCCTAGCAAACTCAAGAAAGCGCAACTTCCTAGAAAAACTCGTTTACAGTCAAGGTAGGACAGATTAAAGACAACGGCTTCCCATCTCTTACACCGATATGTAACCAACCAAGACTCATCAGAAGCAACTAACCCTACGAACAGTCGCACCATCATGATGTTCTCTTTGCCTTTTGGGTTCTTGGCGCGTTTGATTTGATGATGATGACGAACCGGAGCCTATAATATCTCTATTCCCAATATTTTATATACAACTTGTATGACTTACCTGAACCCCATCCAAACCATCCTGCAACCACCCCATAGATATATTGCAGCGGAGCGATCAATAACATAGATATCAAGGAGAATACACCTCCAAATGGACTAGCGGCAATGATGTTGGATGTCTTCGGATGCTTCTGAAAATCCCCAGTGAACCAAACAAAGCTTTCTTTGTTCCTGCACTAACCTGAATGACGAGGAGTGTACATGACGGGGTGAGACACAACTCCAGATATGACTTTTGCAACTCTTCTTCAGTAAAGACTTTTCTAGGATAGACTTGTGCTAAAGAAAACGCGCCTCTGACACGTCCATCCTAAACGGCGATAGGTTTTGAGGGACGAAAAAAACAAAAATTCGTTAACCTGTCTGATGAGCTCCATAAGGGCATTCAGACAATCACTAGAAGAGAACTCTTCTACAATGTTGTCGCCATCGGGAAGGCGGACTTGCACACGACATCTGAACTTCCTCTTTGAAATTTCGTATGCATCAACTGGTGCCGACGTAAAGACTATTCACACATGGAACCGGAAGAAGGAAAAATCAAGAGAATGTTTTTCATTTCTCGAAATCTGTGATTTCCCATCTTACAACTTATCACCACCGTTGGTACAAGGCTCCAAGCAATTAGTGAAGAGGAGAACATAAATTCTCGGAAAGGTTTTTACAAACACCTGTCACTAGGGATGGGCTCCATCTTGGGAGGTGGCGGTGGTTGAGCTGGCATGTCGCCAGCTGATGCAGTATCTGCATGTCTCGCAAGCCTTTCTCGGTACTCGCGTTCTTCTCTGAGAAAGAATATTTTTACAAGATTCTGTAAACAGAATCAGAACAAGATCAGACAGATCAGCGAACTAGAGTAAAGTTTGAGATGTACCTATCAGCCTTGATCTGCGCTATCAGCCTTTGACGTTCCTTTTCGGCTTCAATTTTATCACGGCGCCGCTGGGCTGCAGCATCGATGATGGCCTGAAAAATGGGAATTGACTTCAAGGCACAAATTTACCTGGAAAGTTTCTACCTGCTCCTCCCGTTTCTTCAGCGCTTCCTGTGCCAGCTTTCCCTCATTGATCCTTTCGAGCTCACGTTCCTTCTCACGCAATTTCGCAGCTTCCTCTTCTGCCTTCTTTTTCTCCTCCAGCAGTCTCTTCGCTCTGCAAAGAAGCAAAACATAAGGTACTGAATGAAAGAATGGGATTTTATGACCTCTCCACTTTTTCTTCAAGTGAAAGCGCACTGGTATTTGATGAGCTACTCTGCTTCGACGTTGATGGCTGCTGAAAAAGACTATTTCTAATCTCGAAGCGATGATCACTTAGAAACCAAACATACATCTGCTTGCTGTATGTCACCCGAACTGTGCGCTGCACTACGGCTAGATGAACCAGCTTTTTTACCTGCTGTGAAGGCCTGCAATAAGTTTTCATACAGTGTAGTACTAATCCATTACTTACCTTGGCTGCACGGTCGAGTTTGGAATAGAACTCGTCGTAGTCAAGATCTTTGAGCAAAGTTATGACTTCGATAGGTTTCCCGAGATTATCGATGATATACGATGCTGGTAGAACTGGTGTTGGATCTGAGATCAACAACATTTTCAATAGTATAATTTCAACACACATGAATTTCAACCAACAACGGTACATACACCGTCCCGGATATGGTGGTAACGTGCAAAATTAATATTGATTAGCGTGATGATAGAACACTTTGGCAAAATCCTAGAGGAAATCTCCTAATACAATTTGAAGGAGCAACTTTGAGGCAACTAGTGCGGACTAGCGCCTTATTTTCGCATGCGCTTGAGCTTATGTTTTGCGCTAAAAAGACCCAAAAAAGCGAAAAACTGGGAAAAAATCGAAGTGAACTTTGCCTTTTTAGATGAGAGTACAGATCTTACATATTTGAGCAAACTGCTTAGCTGCTTCATCGCCTTCCATCAGATGAATTCCAACGAAGGCACAGTCGAACAATGTGGGTTCAATCTAAAGATGAGAGCTGACATGACCTGACAGCTCGTTCAAACTATTGTGAACAAAGATCCGAAAAATGAAAAAAAAACGTCGGAACATACCTTATCCCAGAGTTCACGCATCTTTTCTCCTTTTGCATTTTTACTCTCGATGAAAACGATGAACAGCGCATTGTTCTTGCGCGACACTTGTATTGCCGTACTTACAGATCCAGCAAACCACTGCATCTGGAAGTGAAATGGCTGAATCTGACAAATTACCTCCATAGAAACTCTATAGAAAGAAGCATGTGAGCAAATCAACAGCAAGAATAATTTTCAACGTCATCACATCTCATGAAATGTACTGAGACGGCATATCACATGTGCTAGACGCGTTTACACTCTGCTGAATTTTACGGCTTAATTTTCATTTGAGTTTGGGCAGGAGGACCTCAATTTTAATCATAAAAGAGTTTTAGTGTGCTGAATCATAAAAACTCTTTTCAGAATGTCTGTAGCAGGCGTAAAGCTCAATCCGGCAATAGCTAAACCCACGGGCAATGGCCAAGTGCATTGCATCGTATGCAATATGCAGGTAAGTTATAAATTATATTTATGCTCTGTTCTTGCTGGGGTATTTTCCCAAAAACTTTTATTGTGTTGCTCGAGTTGCATTTTTTTCTCGTATCTTTCATTTCCCGACCATCTTTTTTATGAACTGTGACCTGGAAGAGGAAATCAAAGAGGGGTATCTTCATACGAGTGAATAAACCCAATGACGCGGTATGGGGAAAGGGATTTTTACAAGTTTTGCTGTTGTTTAAGCCTTTTTTTGCTAATGAGCTTGTTTCACGGTAAACAACATTACAAGTTTTGATTTCTTTGCAAACATCAGTATATATCAGACAAAAAAGCAGCTTCTTGTGATGATACGATAAATAAAACTTGCCAAAAATTGCGAATATTGCATCTTGTCAATGATTCTAACATAGGATTCTGTTTATCAGTCTCGAATGGGCACTGGAGTTGCTCCTGAGCTTTGTATTTCCTTTGTTATATTTTTTTTGTTATCTCTCACCTTTCATGTGATTGAGCATTTAATTTTGCCCACGTACCAATTCATTCGCAATGTATATATGACCGATGTGAATAATATTTGAACTTTTCATGTTTCTGCTCAATGTTTTTATAACTCTCTATATGTGGTTTGTGCAAAATCTGATATTAGTGGATTGTAGCGAAATGTCTGAACATGCAGCCAATTGAATCATTAGCTCTATTCATAGGACATCAAATGTCCCTCAAAATAAACTTACACCAACTTTATGCCAGATACTGCTGTTTTTATCTTATGCACATTCGTTTAGGTCAAACCCAAGGTTTGGACTGCCCACGTGAACGGAAAAAAGCATCGAGATTCCTGTGAACGGCTCAAACAGCAGTTGGTATCTGGCCCAAAGCGACCAAACGATGCTTTGGCTGCGCAGAATGGTGGACCTCCCACGAAGAAGATAAGAGGTATATATCTTGACAGTGCTGAAGTATGGCCATTTCCCACTTTTAATCTAGAAGATCCACAACCTGTTCCTTCGTCAAATGGCCCTTTACCGTCAGACTTCTTTGATGAAGAGCCTGGACTAAGGTAATTGAAACTCCTGCACAATCTTTGAAACCTCGTCGTTTTTACATCATTTGATGATTTTAGCATTCAAACGCCATGGCAGAAAAACAAAGATGAAGAAAATGCTCATCTTCGAGAAAGAAAAGGTGTTATAGAAGGTGTTCCGCAAGGATTCTTTGATGATAAGAGGAGAGATGGAATGGTGCCGATTTATCCATCTTTTTGTATTGATTTATGATCAAAGTTTTCCAGGTCAGAGAAACGATTGAAAATGAAGCACAAATGAATGAAGAGTATGATCGGTTGATGCGCGAGTTGAATGAACAAAATCACGAAGACGAAGCAAAGGTATTAGCTTTCATACTAATGAGTCTAAGTACTTTGAATGTTTCAACTAGCATACAATTTGTCGAATTCTCTCTGGACCTAAGATCGTGAGGCTCTATGGACCTGCTCTATGCATTCGGCTGCTTTCTTATTTCTTACTAAAATTCTTCAAAGTCATTTTAATCAGACGTGCAGAATCGATCAGTGTACTGACTGTTGCTTAATACAGGGTATGACAATATTCCGTTAACATAGCTGCGGCGTGATGTCTTCTGAGCTCTGCGCAGAAGTACAAGTGTTAAAGGCAGCGTCCAGGCAAATCTGGACATATGCGGAATCTCACTCACGTGGGGAGTAATTTTGGGACCCTGACTAAGACACTGCCCAACCGGCAGCTCAGATGGTGTTCTAACGGCTGAGATATTCGCCTTCAGAATGGACTTCAGGATCGTGTATCGCATGGATTCTTGGCGCGACACACTAGTTTTGCGTGGGTGGTCCTTGCGCGAAAGCGTGCAAACAAGAAAGAAGTCGTCCGATACAATTCTGGGGTCCAGTTTGGAGGCGTATATCTCAGCCGTTAGTGAGTCATTTGCGCTGCTGCTTGTACCGTGCCCTAAATAGGGCCCCAAAATACTTTTCACGTAAAATCCCCATAGGTCTAGTTTTGCCTGGACGCTTCCTTTAACAAGCAATTTAATTCGCGTTGCAACATTTACAAGTCAACTCGAGAATCTCAAATTTCATTATTTTCGCGTCTAACAAACTCATTACTTTGATAAACTTGATATATTTTGGTATGACGGGGCCTACTGTCGCTGTCTTCTAGGCAGAAGAAGAAGATGAACAAGATGCTCTCTTCCGCGATATCTCCAACGCAGACGATCAAATGGAGAACTGGATGCGACTGAACGCTATGGAAAAGTTGAAGGAAGCACGATTACAAGAGGTTGGCATGGTCTTCTAATCTTTCCTTTTCCTCCTCCATCCACCTTCTTTTATCTCTTATTTTGTATTTTGGCGACAAAACACAGAACCTTTGAACTCCTAAATGAGTGTGTTTGTTTAAGGCACGTGAAAAAGCTGCTGTCCAAGAAGATGATGATGAGGGTAGCGATGATGACGACATCGACTTCAACAACTGGCGGGCAAAACGAGTTTTGTGAAGAGATGATCTCAACTTATCTAAATTGAGTATGATAAAATTCTGAAAACATCACACAATGAGATTTCATATTAATTTATGAAATGATAACAGTAGATACAATACAGAGATCGAAACAATGTTAAAGGGAAAATAATAGATTTCTTATAAAACTGCAAAGTACATAGCACGAAAACATGTCAACAACAGAAATAACAAGGTTCAAATTACAAAATTTTTTAGCTCGGCTTCTGCTAGAAATAAGCTATAACAAGATATGACTATTCTAGTGTTCACAAAGCTCAGCTACTTTATACTGAAATTATTACAGTTAAATGAGAAGTTCAAGGAAGTGTTTCATACTGAATATTACCCGCCGATAAGCTTCCACCAAAGGACAGTGAAATGACAAACAAAATGTATGAATAGTAGCTTACTAAGCTCAATCTTCATCTGATGAAACAATTTCTCCATCTGATAATTCTCTTTCGACATGCTTAGGCTGCTTTGGTGGTTTCGGCTGTGGCGCAGGTGCTGGCGGTGTGGCAGGTTTTCTTCTTACAGGACTGCGGTTGTCATTGATGCGATGAGGTGGACTTCGAGGACGACGATCCATCTGGAATACGAAGACGATGAGAAAGAACTAGGAACGGATCATAACATTGAAAATGAAGCAAAGTCATAATTGCTGGGAATCCAAGAAGCTCATACGCATTTTACGACACCACATCATGCAAATATATACGAAGAATGCAGAAAAAAACCTGTGGATTTCGCTCAGCATGTAAAATCTTTTTGTTGTCATGTAAGACTTCGATTCTTATGTATATAGAAAAAATAGTTACTCACATCTCTTCTTCTGCGATCATCTCCAAACGGACTACGTCGCCGTGTTGGAATCTTGTAATCGCGTTCGCGTCGTGGCGGTCCACCCATCATCATCGGTGGCATTGGCGATTTGTCGCGGACGCGGTCGATGAAGCGGTCGCGACCTGCGGCAGCTCTTTCCGGTCGTCGTTCACGCTCGTGAGTGTCCTCCAGCCCACGACGGATCACCTGCATTCGATTGACCTAAACAAAACAACTTCGAATATGTCATATGAGTGAATGAAATATTGCTTGTACCTCAACAGAAAGCGTTTGCATGTCATTGTAATAGGTGTCGACTTCGTTGAGCGTTAGCCGTAACATACCACTCAATTTCATGAATATAGCACGCATGTCCTCAGAAGGTAAGGATCGGAGATTATTGAGACTCTGTAAAAAATACAATACAAATCATTTGAGGTTGAAGCCTTGGCAACTAACCCTTCCATTTGACTTCAGCAACTCTTCGACAATCTCATTGATCCGGGTATCATCCACAGTGATCAGGCGAGGCGGTATTTTGACCCAAGCGGCGATATTCATCAACTCCGCATCTTTTTTCTCCTTTGCAAGTATGAATAGTGGATCTGAATTTTTGTTGGTGTAAAATTCCATTTTCGAAGGTCCAGTTTGATACACTCACTGATCCACAGCGCCGTATAGTTGTCGGGACATAGGATGTCAAATGGTTCACTGACCATCATGCTCTCAGTCGGAGAGTCAGTACCAAGGATGACATCAACACCTGAAAGGTAGCAATGGTGACACTAAGATTATGACAATGCTTGAAATGACTTACTGATAGGTAGCTCTGGCAGAGTATGTGGGAATGCTCCTCGCAACACAAATTCTCGTCGTAGTTCCATCAGTATAAGACCAAGACGGTTACCACCGAGGTAAGAAGGACGAAAAGCCATAGGTCGCGTGCACAGTTCAAGCAGCTGCAAGCACAACTTCATTACTTTGAAAACAATATTGATTTTTTATCATAATCTATCACAGAATACTTATTACAAAAAGAAACTAGGGAACACATAAAGACTATAATGAAACCAAAAACTGCACCCAAGACCTATACGGTAAAAACTGCACCCAAGACCTATACGGTAACCTTTGCAAAAAAAGACCAGGCATGAGCTTTTCTACCAAATCAACATTTGGCTGAAGAAGTACCATACACAAAAAAAATGACGAATTCGATTGTAACTACACCCAAATAAAACTGCGACTTCATTGAGAAGGAAGCCCCACCTGCTTGCTAGAGATGTCTACAGTATAGAGCCATGCTCGAAGATCAGATTCACGCATTCCAATAGATAATTCTGTCTCCATAGAGCAAAATCTTGCACAATAGACCTACAATAAGGTATGATTCGACAACGACCAATCAACCACATACTGAAATACCTCACCAGCATGGCATCTCCTGTATCTAATAATGCTCGCAGAAGAGGAGGATGTTGCTCAAATAGGAGAGCAAGGGCATCTTTTATAGCCTAGATGTACATGATAAATTGATAGTATAGTATGACACATAAATCACAAAAAAAGTTCAACAACATCAAAACAAACCTTTTGCCTCCGTTCCATCCACCAACTTTGTTCTCTCTCAAGACCACGACCTTTAGCCTCTATGGTTTCGTGTAAGCGTTCCCAACATTCTAGCGAAGACTCAGTTTCCATCACGTATTCAGAATCCTCTGTGTTAAATCCAAGGTACCTGAATATAAACTTTGGAACCATCATCAATCATACAGACCTACAACTGACTTTACTGCCTGACTTGCTACAAAGTGAGCTGGCGAAGCAAAGAGCGGTTGTCCTTCAATGACACGAATCTCTGCTGGATAGAGCGGATGAAAAACGGACTCCGCGGTGAAACAAATCACATTTGCGCTAACGATCGACGACAAGCTCGCAGTATTGAAGTGAGATATCTGCATATCATTCTTGAACTTCGTCTCGATAGAGTGCAAGTGATGGACAGCTTAGGGATCGTTCATACCGCGCACAAAGGCGGACGAAGGCGCACGAAGGCGGATGAAGGCGGACGAAGCCGCACAAAGGCGGACGAAGGCGGACGAAGCCGCACAAAGGCGGACGAAGGCGCGTCTTGTCTCGTCTCGTTTCTCTCGACACACACACACTCACACATGCCTTCGTGCGCCTTCGTCCGCCTTTGTGCGGCTTCGTCCGCCTTTGTGCGGCTTCGTCCGCCTTCGTCCGCCTTTGTGCGCGGTATGAACGATCCCTTACCAATGGAATTCGACTTTCTGTTTGTGATGCTAGTTTCACACGAAGCTCCATCAATAACAAACCAGTCTTATTGCCAACAAGATGAGCAAGTGTCTTCGGAGTTTTATCATCCTGAAAATTCAGAACATTAATGAAACATCTAATCAACAAAAATCTCTGAATTATTACCTTATTCCTCATCCACTTAATGAGATCAGCTGGCCCCACATACGGCTTGGTCAGCAACCGCTGCATTTCTCTCTCAGATGAAGCGCAAGTCCACATAGGATCGCCTTCTGGAAAACAACAGTAATGGACATGCCTATGACTGCACAGCGATTGCAGAAATAAACATTACGCACCGCAGCAGTCGATCAAAAGAGCATCTCCGGTACTGAGCAAGAGCTGTTGCAGATATTCATTCTGTGCAATCTTGTGCTTCATGGCAGACTGCCTCCACCTATCCATTTTTGACATTTTTGCTTCAACAGCTGACTCGGGGATCTCCAAAGATAAACTTCAGTAGAAGCACTTGATCATCTACTAGGAAATGAACCTCATGCTTCTTGAAGTATCTCCTAGCCATAACTGCAACATCCGCTGGCAAAACTGTGGTCTGGATCTTCTCTATGCTCTTGTCATCCAGTTTGAGCGCAATAAACAACTTTTCATAAGCATAATGTTCAACTGAGCGATATCGCTCTCCTTTCATCTCGAAGGGTAAGGGATAATAGTTACTCAGAGGGCGAAATATGCCCTAAAGAAAACGGTCGAGCCAACACTGGAAAAGCAAAGCAAAAGCTAAATCTTACCTGCAACGAGATAATCTGATCGTTGACTTTGATTTTAATAGGATTATCATCGTTGTCAGTTGACAGACCCTCGATTTCCAACGGCTGTCTGTTCAACATAGCAGCTTTTCGCTTCTCGCGCACTTCGAATCGTAGCCACATGAGGAAAAATCTATAGGAAGAAAGCAATGGAAAAAAGATTAAGGAATGAAAGCAAAAGTACCCCATCTGATTCCCTCCAAGCGCAGCTGGCTTTGCAGTCTCGTTTTTCATCCAAAATTCTACCATCTGTGAATCCGCTTTTTCACGAGCCATCCAATCAAGGAACTGATTTTCGTCCATGCCTGAAGACAAAACTTGGCTGAATGTAATTTCGCATAAGACAGTATGAAATCGAAACATTAAGACTATAGTAAGGCAAACGACAAACACTGACCTATTCCCAGTTCTTTGTCTCGAGGGTCACAAACTATGAGCAAGGCATCTTTGGTATTCATAAGCGCTCTTTCAAATACTAAAACAAAGGGTTAAAATATCGGATCCACGAATTTTGGACAAAATATCAACCCACGTTTATCTTGTTCAACTCGCAATCTCAATCCTTGCATAGAATAAGCTTGTTTACTGCTCTGTAGATACGAAGCCAAAGAGTTCATGTCATGTCCGGCAGGCATATTTTCCAATAGCAGCTGACGAGCCTAGAAAGGAGTAAAGATAGGAAGTGAGTCTGAAAAGATTAACGACCTACTTTCAATGGAACATCACATGCTGATGTACATAAAAGCTCTAGAATTACATTCTCGTCAACCCCAAGTTGGCTTAATATCATAGAATGTGTGTAGTGCACTGCACTGGGATATCTGTAAACAACAAATAACGTGAAAATACTGAAAAAATAGACATGCTACTGATCAACAAAAATAACAATGTCTTTGAGAACAAAAATAAGACTGAATTAATAAAAAAAATGAGCTTCAGTATCGCACAAATAAGGAAAGATCGGTATGGTTGTAAACTATTTTACAAGTGAAAGATGCTTTGAAATGAGAGATCACCTTTTGCCAGCATCTGATATAGCATGACTATAACCGCAGTGAAGCACATCCGTTTCATTACCAATCAAAACGATCTTTCCTTCATCCATCCTGCAAAACAGATTCAATAAATCTGTCGAGACACCAATCAAATCCATAGTGAATAAATCAAAGTTGTGAAAAGAACAAAACATAAACAAAAACAGAAAACAATAAACACTTTGCTAATGCACAAAGTGCATGGAAGATCGACAAAACTAGCGCACACCTTGGAATCTCGTCCGAGCGCGCGGACCACTCCGTGCTCCGCCCAGTCTCCATGAGCCGATGTTGTAATGCTCATGGATCCCATTGCTTTTATGCTCATCACACAAATCGATCCTCATTCGATGGTTGATAAAGTCTTCTGGAACAATACGACTGACATTTTTGTAAGGCTTCAAATACTGTGTGAAGGTACACGGCGTCAATAATATACAGAAAAACGTCATATGTGCACTTTTGAAAAGAATTGACAACACTCTATGAGCTCCCTAGATATTCCCGCAAAAAAAACTGCAAGTGCCAGGGAGTAAGATTTTCCATATCTCATAAGCAGAAAATTTCCGAAGAAATTTCATGATGAATGATTTGGCTTTCCTAGCTATTTATCGAGCTACACTAGCAGCAAACCAAGCCATTAGGAATTGTTCGACTTGTTTGTTTCTCATCTTAGAGCAGCTGTCTGTCACCAGCATAATTTGCCTTGGCAAGCAATTATGAGGGAGACAGCGTTAAAGCCAAAAGTTCTTTGGAGTCAGAAATGTTGAAGTATTCTTTTCAGGTTATTTTCAGAATCAATATACAGAAAGAGACGAGAGGATAGATGTGTACCAATAGTAACCGTATAAAACCTATAGGAAGGGAAGGGGGGGGGGTGAGTGAGAGGAAGTAGTGATCGTTCACATAGGAAAATTGCTGACCATAAATAGATCAGATCAAATTTGACTGCTCGGGAACATGGCAATGCCACGTTAGGTGCTGCTGCTACCGTATAACTACCGTAAGATTACAACGAGCGGCAGCGGAACAAGTAGTCTGATATCAATATGAGGGAACATGATCGCTCCATAATCCTAGACGATTGCAAACGTCAGTGACTTCAATCTCTTACCGTAAGCCTACAGTAATTCTACAGATAAGCTCATCTTGCGAGATGGCCATTTAACAATCATTACGGTTTACCAATACCACAAAACTAAAAGAACTGTGCTTTGATGACGTTTCAATATGGAAATTAGCAAAGCGCTAAAAGAAATATACCTGTGCTGAAAAAAAAACGACACAGCAAGCAAAAAAATATACTCAGTTTTTCAATATTTTCGCTAGTCTGAGAGGACAATTAATCAAAGCTGACCAACCTGCTCAATGACAAACAAAGCCTCTATATTCCCCCCTCTCCCATTTGAAGAAGTTGAGATGGTATTAGGTTGACCCGAATTAAGCCGCTTTGATCTTGAAAAATTCGTAATTCGTAATTCTGCCTATGTCAACGTATTGCTTACTAAAAATTTCTCGAGAAAGAAAAATTCAACGATTTTCAAATAGCATCTTCATGGCTCTTTGACAACAAGGGACTCCGGAGATAAAGGAATAGGAGAACCACTCTGACTTTCGATTTTCGAAAACAACTTGTCAAAAATTTTAAAAGCTGCAAAAAATATGTTTCTTATAGTCTTGCAAGCTGTTCTTTCTAACACTGTCAAGTTTGTGCTGATCGAGCTTTCCTATGAAAACTCATGAACTTCGAGAAAAATGAGGGAGGATGCAAGAAAATATTTTTGATTTTTGCAAATTTCTCAAGAAATCATAACTTTTCATGGAAACGATCAACACAAACTTGCCACTGTTAAAGAAGCAGTTTACGAAGACTGTACAAAACATGTTTTCTAACTTTTCTGCGGGATATCAGATTATGATGAGTTATTTTCGAATATCTATAGCTGGAGTTGTTCTCCTGTTCGAATTTCTATCTCTGGAGCATCGTCAGAGAGCCGCGAAGAATCTATTAGAAAGTAGATGAACTTTTGTTTCTGGTGATGTTTTTGTAAGCAGACACATTTACATAGGACAAATGAATTTTCAAAATCAAAGCGGCAGAATCTTCGGTTCGTTATATTTGTGAATTCATGATGGCAGATATGAAATTCTATATCAAACCTTCTTTTAAAATTTGAATGTGGGCTATTTATGGCACATTTTGCGAGTAGGCAGTAGCAGAAATTACAGATAAAAAATGTAAATAATTAAATGCACTTAAAATAACTCCCAGCTTGCAAAAAGCGTTATGCATCATACAATAATTTATTGTTGTCTGCTTTTGGCAACATTTTAAGAAGAACGCTGGATGGTGCCAGCACACAGGTGGACCAAAAAACAGTTGTGGAACAGGGGATTCTAGCCCAGATATTTGTGTGGAGACGTTGCTATTGCTTGAGAGCAGCCCCGGAGTGGTATTAGATTCCAATATATCTCATCAACTTAGAGACGTCTGGCTTCGAACAGTCGCCGACTATGACGACCAACGTCCGAAGGCATTATTTCTGAAAGAAGGGTGGGGGAACGAAAGCCGCCGGTTTGGGTCGCCTCCGCGGACTGCTGTTCCTGGAACGACCTTCAACAACACTGCGGAAGGACCAGTTAGATGCGAAAGGCGGCTCAAACTGGCGGCTTTCGTACCCCTACCCCCTAAAATGGTAACCTTTGATAAAACGATAGGGCAGGTACGTGTAAAGACAGAAGGAGAAAGGCTGTCAGATAGATTTCTTTGTCTTCTCAATACTCCAAATTAGAGTGAAAATACTTCGGATTCTTCAACCTATCAAACTAAAGTAATTGAAAGAGAGTTGAAAACTTTTAGAGCCATTTCTAGATTCCAAACCCCACAGAAAATAACAAGAAGAAATTCCAGAAAGCACACAAACTCTAACAACCTAATCTAGACGGGGGATCCTATGTCCACTGATTACCTAATCACTTTTGCTGACTAATGTGTCAACCTTTAAAACAACGATTGTCAAGGATATGTGAATAGGAAGCTGGGAGGGAGGAACCCGGGGGAAGGCGGGGGGGGGGGGGGAGGAGAGAGCACAAAGCATACTTTTTAAGTGAATGGCTAGTAGCTACAGTAAGTTTCGGCCCGCATTAGGCGGAAATTGGATTGGCGGGCGTCCGCCTCGCAACAGCTCGCGCCGTTTCGCAGCTACAGTACAACTAAAGTATAACTATCATATCGTGCTGGGAACCGAGGTCTGCGTCTCTCCCTTCTCCTCAGTCCCTGCTTGGCAAAATGCCAGCGCTATGCGCTCGCGAGACTTCCGGCGGTGCGTACGCGCCCCTCCTTATGGGATGTTCCGCCTAATCCGGGGTGAAACCGACTGTACCCTTTGTTTCAACAGGATTGGCGGCTGGAAGGCGGTGCTTCGAGGCCTAATCAAGACTAGAGAATGATCAGAGAGCACGCTTGGAGAGAGACGTAGTCTGCGCTGCGTGCGCGAGCGGTCCCCTTTCAGCCGTAAATCTAGTTTAAAGCGCACGTCTCCCAAAAATTACTTCTCAAAGCTTTCAAAAACTTTTGCGGGCCTAGACAGTGTCCCCATAGCTAAAAAGTTCTTCTTCTATCCATCGACCCACTCTACCAGCTTCGCTATTGGTCAGTTTACTGATTTGGCCAATAGCGAAGTGGTTCAAATATGAGTGTGCCGTAGGCTAGCGAATAAAAATCGCAACTCGCACGTTGCACGCTCTTCACGCTACTCGCATCAGAACCCATGCACAAAGCCTGGTCTCGACACGGGCCGCCTACGAAAGAGGACGATTGATTTGAACTCTTCCAACTTCCTGGCGCCACATTTAGACTTTAGTTCTATGAGGCTTACTCTGTTCGAACAACGAGACCACCACTTCTATTGGCCCAACAGCTTTTAATGTTTCTGCGTGCGCTGACTACCTATACATCCTAGATGTGCCTCAGCGCTTTTATTTTCTTAGGTATTGAATTTAATCAATTGATATCGCGAAGAAGTTTCGCCTTTTCAACGCGATGATTTCGTAGATGTGACAAGCGTTTCTACTCCTTACCCCCCCCCCCACGGCTTTTTTCGCTCTCACTCCTAGGCAAAACCCACTATCGCGCGATACCTAATTGCTTTATAATCAGTTAAGTTTACTCAAGTGCTGCTTTACGCAAAACATTTCATCATGAAAAATGTATCGCTCAGAGCGCCATCGATGGCGTTCAGTTGCACTGCCAATCAATGTCTGATTGTCACGCACGCAAACAAGAACTATCTCAGCTAGTGCGTCGAAACTTTGAGGCAGGTTTCGACTTCTGCTAGAACTTTTATAGAGGAAAAAGATGTCAGTGTGGAAACATGTACCATTCATTCTGCGACTAAAAGACTTGAAGCTGCTTTGCACACATTGCACACAAGCTTAGTCGTGTAGCTAACAAGTTTATACTTGTCACTTGTTTAGTATAGGATTATTTGCTACTTGGTAACAGGGGGGAACAAGTTCAAGCATGTTTAAATGTGTGCGAAGCGGTTTCGAATCTATATTGGTCACAGAATAACAACCCTTTATGGATGGAATTCGATATCTAAAAATTTCTATGTTGCTTTTCGAAAAATCCACTTTACTGGTCCAAAGAGATGGCTTAGACGCTGGCGGCCAAAGATTTAGCCACCAATTCAACCCAGTCTCTTCTTGTCAACGCTCACGTTTTCTCGTGAGTTGTAAAAGCTGTAAAATACCAACTACATTTACAACTTCAATACCACTAAATACTAATGTAAAATAATTGCTAAGTTCATCAAATCTGTGATGCGGGAGTTTAGGCTGAAATTGGCATTTAATGACAATAAATCAGACTTCGTATTTACGAAAAACAAATTCAATCGATACTCCGGCAGGTTGCCAAACACACTCTTTGCCGTAACAGCTTCTTCCAAATTTCAAACGGCTGAGCACAAAAGATAAAAGGTCCAAGTTCTTAAGTTGGGTACATATAAGCACATTAAACACTTTATTGTGCACGTATTCAACAACGACGACGGTTCCCAACAGCGGTCTGCCCAACACTGAGGCCGCAGTCAGGTTCCAACACAATTCCAACGCAAAACGTGTGGGGACGAGTTTCTGCAACAATATTGTCGGTTCTGTGAGGAACGGTTACGGTATCGTTGTCGCCTGAGTATCATTTTCTCAGCAGGCAATTTTCAGCAATGAAATGTGGATTTTCTAATTTTTGAATGTTTCAAGCAAAAACCGAAGTTGAGAACGTGATTTTTCTTAGGTTAAATTTCATTCCAGATTTTCTTTTCATTCTCTTCTTCAGGATTGTCACTGGATTTTTGTTTTAGCTGATTTTGGCATAATGGTACCTTTCTTTTTCACTCTTGTTAGATGTAGATGGAGTTTTTGAAATTATGACAAGGTATCTGTCTATATCGTCAATTCATTGTTGCTTTTTTCAAGGTATAAAGCCATGGTTGATGAATTTTTCCGAATTTTCACAGTCGTTACGATACTTTTCTATTTTAACACATTGTGAGATTTGTTTTGGCATGATTTGGAAGAAGGCAATAGGGACAGGTTAATGATAGGGGAGGTATAGGAATAGGCAAACGTTTTCTATAATTTCTGTTTATCTCAGCAAGTTATGGGGGCTGGTCTTGATTTATAGAGGGGCAAAAGCTGTAATCTTGTCACCCTCAGTGCTTCGCGATCTCTGTCGTCAGTTTGACAATATTATCATGCACTATTCTACGTAACTGAAAGTTTGGTCAATTCAGCTTGTCTGTAGGTATCTTGAACAAAGGGCAAATATGGCGACCGCTCCACAAATTACGAAGAAAAAGAAGGCCGTTTTGGATGGAGTTTTCAAGGCTGAGCTCAACAATTTCCTCATGAAGGAACTTGCTGAGGACGGTTACTCCGGTGTCGAGGTTGGTTTGCAGTTCGTTTGTTTTCCGGTCTTCATTTTTGATCGCAACTCATTGATAGGCGAAATTGCAAGTTACATAGTAAATGTCTTGTTTCGAGGTCCGACGCACCCCAGCTCGTGCTGAAGTCATCATCATGGCCACCCGCACTCAATCCGTCCTTGGTGAGCGCGGACGTCGTATCAAGGAGCTTACCTCTGTAGTACAGAAGCGTTTCGGTTTTGAGGAAGGTTCCGTCGAGGTGACTCTATCATTTCCAGTATCTTTTTTTATCGATATTGATTTTGACTTTTCGATCTCTTGTCTTTTTCGCGGGAATTTTCATAGCCATGGCTGTTCATAGGGTCCCTTCATACTACGCCGACGCAGCAGCCTGCCGCAGCACGCGGCAGCACGCCGCGTCCTCCGGCGTGCGCCGCTGCAGTCGCAGTGAAAATATGCGCCCCTCGATGTGAAGGAACACTCTCGAAGAACACTAATGCGCAGCAAATATAGAGAGACATTCATAGCCGGCGAAACTGTGCTGCCATAAGCGGATACTTCCTCTGCGACTGCCGCGGTGCACGCCATGAAGGAACCCATGAAAATATCAATTTATTAGTGAAACCTCCTCATATATGGCACGCTTTGAACTGCCTCGCAGTTTTTGATATCTGTGATACTGTGATGGGTGCTACAGAGGCTTTCAATCTGATTGTTTTGACGTGATTCAGGTCCTCGCGGACCTCCTCGCTTGGGTCTCTCACGTGCAATACTGCCTTCGCTAAGGTCTTCGCGGTGTTGGATGCGGTAGTTTACCACGTGAGAGACCCAAGCGAGGCGCTTTTCGAGGACTTGAACACGTTGATATGACACTCAGATTGAAAGCCCTTGTATAGTAGCTGTCTCCCTTTCAATCTTTGTTTTATTGGGGCAACTCCACGCTACAGTTGCGAATCTTCTGTCGTTTTGGTAATGTTGCATTTTTCTGCTGCTTATCTTCTTCTAAAAGTTGGGGCATGTATAAAGGTAATTTCATGGTTAGAGTTCGGAAGTATTGTACATATGGAAGGTGTTGCTGCATATGGAAGGAAGGAACCCCAACTCGTAAGAGCGGAATTTGCTAATTTTGATTTCCATCTTTTTATCTATCGTGAAAAAATCACAGCAAGTAAATGTGGATGATTGAATGTCATACACATTTATATCTATACTTGCTGTTTTTTTGTATCTACTATAGGATAATCAATTTGGAATAGGTGTTAACTTTTGCCCTCACGAGTTCTAGTTTCTTGAAACTCTAAGTGTGGATCCTAATGTAAGAATACTCAACTTCATCTGCCACAGCTTCTTTTCCCCAATTCAAGCTGCTCTGCATGCCTTCCTTAGTTTGCACCATCGTAGGATTGGAAAACGACATCTTATCCAGTCCAATACTTAGCAGTCTTTTTGGTTATCCGTTTACCATAATACAACACTGGTGAGGAGAACATTCGGTCTTTTCAAAAATTGTTGGCCGTTTGTATGAGGCAAAGTTGTCGGTTTTCGCGGCGGGATATAAATCCTACGAAAGTGCGGTAATCCCTGAAGTCGAAGTTCTTGATCAGTGCTTTAGTATATTTTTGAGTGTAATTATGGAACGAAAACCTTTAAGGTTTCCAACTTTTTGGCATCAAGATAATATATCAACACGGTCATAAAGCTTTGCCTTTACAACAATGAACATTCCTTATCTGGTGTTACCTAATTTTTTCTCAGTAAAACCGAACACCTTTGAAATCAAGCTGCTTTTTGCTGAAAACATTGTGGACTCCATTTTTGTAATTTTCTTATAAACTTTTTCCAATTCACTCATCTTTTCAGCTGTATGCAGAGAAAGTCTCTAACCGAGGTCTTTGTGCCGTGGCTCAGTGCGAGTCGCTTCGATACAAATTGGTCGGTGGATTGGCAGTTCGCCGTGCTTGCTACGGAGTGCTTCGCTTTATTATGGAGTCTCAGGCTCAGGGTTGTGAGGTAGGTGCGCTTGTGTGTAGGTCTTTGTACAAGCCACCGTATCTGGGCAAGGCAGAAACTGCAGAGTTTCTAGTCCAATCTCGGCTGGCGAAATAAAATGGTGTTCTAATCGCCGGACTGTCTCGGTGACTGTTTCGGTTTCATGCTGCACCGACAATTCAGTCCTTGCTTTCCACATGGCATGTGTCTTGGACACTTTTTAGGTCATTGTTTCTGGCAAGCTTCGCGGTCAGCGTGCTAAAGCGATGAAATTCGTCGATGGTCTTATGATCCATTCTGGACACCCCGTTACGGAATACATTCAGCAAGCCGTTCGACACGTGCAACTTCGTCAGGGTATGTGGCTGCATTTATTTCTATCTACTACTCCACTTTCGACTTCGTTTTATTGAGTCATGCATTTAAAAAGTAATGTTTATTTTGATTTCAGGAGTAATTGGTATCAAGGTCAAGATTATGCTGCCTCACGATCCTCGTGGCCAAATGGGACCCAAGAACGCTCTTCCTGATCATGTCCAGATCCTGGAACCCATGCCGGAAGTTAATCCAACCGAGCCAAGCTCCGAACACAAACTTGAGAAGAAGGACGTCATCCCCATTGTTCCCCCTCCAATGCAACCTGTTGAGGTCACGCCGGCCTATTAATGACTTGTTATTACTTCGTTACATAAATTTTTGTTATTGTTATTGCACACTGAGAAGGGGTGTACTTGTCGCAATATTTGAACTGATGAATACATTTGATGTCGTAAATCTTACATGCGTGATTCTCCTTCATCCTGTCTTAAAAAAGCCATGTCTTACTAGGGGGTCAGAAGTCGAGGTGGCATCTCCCAAGAGTTGCATATCATTCCATGAGAACAAAACGCTGGTTCCGAAACTATCTATCAAGCGCATTGTAGCCAAAATCATGAGCGATTTGTTGCAAGGAAATTGTGTTAGGGCAAATCTTGACGTGTAGGTACACTGTGAGATCACTCTTCGGTATGAACTCTGTAGCACAAAGCTGTAAGCTTCTGCCTACCATGTGTATCCTTAAAGGCAGCGTACACCCAAAACAAATGCAACAGATGTTGCAACAGCAACTGCAACTGCAATTGCAGCTTACGTTGTTATGGATTCGTTCGGAGGAGGCGGAGCGAAAGAAAAGGGGCGGCGTGAAAGAAAATTGAGGGGGGTTTTCTCCGCTCAGAAGCAACATTGGGAGACCGGACCAACGCAGTTGGTCTTCTTCTGGGCCCAGTATATACACGGTGTAGAAAAATCTAGAAAATCAGGCAACTTAGATTTTGGGTGTACGCTGCCTTTAAATTCAAATTTGCATGACCCACACATCTTCATTGCAATTGGTTTGTGCCTTCCTCAACAGAGGCGCCCAGCATGTGGAAAAGGTTGTTTTAGAATCAGTGCTGCATCGAATGGTATGCAACTCTTTTACGAGAGCCATTTCGAGTTCTGACCATCCTTGTTAACATAATATGCCATAGTAGTATTCTGTATTCACATGGGTGCATGTTTCTTGTGGGCGAAAAACAGGGTGTCGACAAAATGTTTGCCATACTCGCCCCCATCTGTATGTGGTCGTTTCTCTTTGGTCGCGAGCGCCAATACCAGCATATAAATACCAGGTTTTGAGACGTGCGCATCGTTGGTCCGCTATTGTTCCAGATTATGAGCAACTATGGTGCTCTCTTTGAGGAGTTATTTCTGCTCTTACAAGGGAAGGATATATGGTGACCGTGACCACCGTTATGATTTGTATATCAAAAAATCTGCATTTTAATGTTGGTTTGAATACTATGCCCATATCTGCGAAGCGACAACCTGGATAGAGTTACGATTATTATTCATGAATAAATTGCCCTACTGCGGAGGGTCAAAACCATTCATTAAAAATTATCTTTTCAAATGCTGAATATGATTTGGATAGGTATATATATTACAACAGTACACCTTCAATAGCTTCAAGCGGTAACCTAGAACAAATTTGGTGACTTAGACTACCCAAAAGTACGCGTTTTCTACGAAAAAAAGTTCATGACTTCCTTCAAAAGATCGTTTCGCAGATATCGAGAACAGATTTAGAATCAGCGTTTCGAGGTGCATCTTACGGTATAAATCGCATTCCGAATGGCCACGTCATCAGTTATCCTTTCCTTGTTATGAATCCATCATACTTCGCCGAAAAAAGTTCAAAAAGCCCAAATGAGCTCGAAAAAGCCCAAGAAAGCCCGAAAGCTCCAGAAAGAGCCGAAACGCAAAAACGTAGTTGTGGTGGAATTCTGACATTTTTTCGTCGTGCAGACGACAGAAAATGAACCAAAAAGAGTGAAATCAACACACATGTCTTAGTGCCAAAACGTGCAAGAAATGTTCCTGCTCTTTCTGGCGCTTTTGGGTTTTTTGGGCTTTTCCGGGCTTTTTTGGGACTTTTTCTGGCTTTTTGGGCTTCTTTGGGCTTTTTCGGCGAAGTATGACGGGTCCCTTAGTGTTCCTTCAAACTACGCCGCTGTGGCCGCGCAATGGAATTGATATGTGTCAGCTGACTCATCGAAGCATACAATACAATTTTTATGGCTCTACGCGTTTCTCTACCATTCTTCTTAAAGGCAGCGTCCAGGCAGGTCTGGACCTATGGGGCTTTTACGTGGAAATTACTTTTGGGGCCCTAACTAAGGCACTGCCCAAGCGGCAGCTCAGGTAGTGCTGTAATGGCTGAGATATTCCCCTCGAAACTGGACCCCGCGACCGTGTTTCGCATGGATTCATGGCGCAAAGCGTGGATCCCGGCGCGAAACTGCCATGAATCCATGCGAATACGTTCGCGGGGGCCAGTTTCGAGGGGAATATCTCAGTCATTACAGCACTACCTGAGCTGCCGCTTGGGCAGTGCCTTAGTTAGGGCCCCAAAAGTACTTTCCACGTAAAAGCCCCATAGGTCCAGATCTGCCTGGACGCTGCCTTTAAACTTTGGATGGCATGGTGTATAGCGCACAGACATGTAGCTCAAATTTTAGAAGTTTTCGTGATCCGCGACCTCATATGCACAGACATCTCCATCAATACTTGACATAATGGTTTGTGGCTAATGTTGCAAGTTGAAAACAAATCTTCGAAATTGCTATGACCTTTCACAGCTTTTGAACGATCTTTACCATATCCTCCGAATTTTTTGATTTGGGAGCTGAATACGACACTTGACAAGACGATTTAGTTTGATGTTTTCATTTTCGTTTGCTTTGTGCTTTTTTTGTGCAAAGTGCAATCAGCCAGTAGGTCATCGAGCACTTTGTTTCGCCCTGCTCTTTGTAAGGCTTGACAAGGAACTGTCTCCTACATTATCCTACTGATGCAGCTATAGCTCTTTTCTTATTATGTAGTTAGAAAATCACTTCTGTGGCCTTTCTTCACTTTATTCGCCATCAAATCTGAAATTTTTAGTAATTGTCAGTATTTCAGAGCTATGTCTGATGGGCAGCAAATGCAACAGCCGAACCAGCCAGGCGGACCATCGCATCTGATTGCGGCTCTAAGTTCGCGGGGTGGAGGAGGACCACAACAACAACAGCCAGTGCAACCCGGCGGTGGGCCCATTCGAGTTCAGCTCCAACAGCAAGGCCGTGCTCCAATAGTTCCGTACCCGCAAGGGGCAGGAGGACAGCCGGCACCCCCGCAGATGCGAACGGTGCAACAGGTCTATCAGCCGTCGTCGAACGGTGTGCCGCAGCAGCGCATTGTCCATCAAATTGCTCAACGTCCAGTGATGGGACAACCGGCTCAGATGATGCGAGTGAGTAGTGCGCCTCAGCCAACCATGCAGATTGTGCATACAGGACCACCACAACCACAGCAAATTCATGTCTCTTCATCCCCTATCATGGGCCCACGGCCACCACCTCCACAACCGCAACCGACTCGTGCCCAGCTTGCGCCACTCCCTGGCGGCCAACCTCCACCGCCTGGAACGAATGTGCAGCCGATGCTTGCTCCACCCAGTTCTAATGGCTCGATCATGGATAGGACGCGCATTGATGAACTGGCCAGACAGACTAGTGCTAATACAGTTCTAGACGATGTTGTAAAGGTATGTTTTCGATTTTGCTTTCTTGTCTTGTTAGGTTTTTTGTTTATTCATAGCTTTGCGGTTATGATTGTAACGTGTCATTTTCTCTCGGGCGTGCGTCCTCTCGGTTTCCAAGTTCTTTTCTGCTTACTTCGCTGAATGCATTCCGATAAGTGCAGTGATGTACCCTAACAATTTGGGATTTTTTTTTTCTCACAATCAGTGAAACACTTTAGGGCCGTTCGTACATCACACAATTTCATCGATTCGCGATTCTCCGGCCAAGACAAACTGATACGAAACCATTTCATGCCGAACTTGCATTTCGATTATGATGTTTTTCGACGCCATTACCGGCTGACTAATATGCAGTGGACTCGTAACAGTTGTCTTGGGGAGAATCGCAAGGCGATGAAATCGCATGATGTATGCCCGGCCCTTTTTGCGATGATTTTTAAAGTTACATTGCAAGGAGAGATACACGGTAACGTGGCTTTTTGTTATAGGTGTATACCAGTAGCTTTGAAACGCTGATTCCAAATCTATGCTTAGCATGCGTTGCGCAACTCTCTGAACGATGTTAAGGACTTTTTTGGCATGATTTCACAATCAGTTCAATTGTGGTGAAAATTGAAAAAAAAATTGTCTGTGTACGAGCTTTCCTTGAACGCGGAGGTGCCTGAGACAATTGTCTGATCTGCGCTCATTGTGCAATTTTGTGTTGTTTTGTAGCGCGTGATTGACTATTCTACCAGTATGCGTACTTTCTGTTTTTTAAGACTTCAGAGTTCAGTTTAGAAAAAAGATCAGTTTTTTAAAAGACCACACAGCAGATGTCGAAGGCACATTCAGAATCAGCGTTTAGATTCGTCCAGCAATATTATATATATATATATATCCTTCTATATATATAAAACCGAATGGGATTTTGTCTGTACACTAGTGGCTTGTCTGTACGCTGGTGGATAAGCATGCTTGTTGATGCTGTCTGTAGGTCCTCGATGGTGTTTTCGTGTTTGTCATTTTCCAGCATGGAAGCTTGTTATTACTTCTACCAAATTTATCGATTATTTGTAAATTTTGAACTACGGGGCTGGAAGTTGGCATAGGGGGGTAATCGAGCATGCTGATTACGAATATGATAACTATTTTCAAAAATGCCCATTACTTTTATCATTTTATCGATTTTCTGGCAAAGTTCAAGCTACGGGGCTGGGAGTTGGCACACGGGGGTAATCGAGCATGCTGATTACGAATACAGTATTAGTTTTTAGAATTATCAGTTATTTTTATCATTTTATCGATTTTTTTGCAAAGTTCAAGCTACGGAGCTAGGAGTTGGCACACGGGGGTAATCGAGCATGCTGATTGCGAATATGATAACCATTTTCAAAAATGTCCATTACTTGTATCATTTTATCGATTTGTTTGCAAATTTTGGACTACGGGGTTGGGAGTTGGCAAGAGAGGGTAAGCGAACATGCTGATTACGAATACAATATAGCTTTTAAAATTATCGGTTATTTTTATCATTTTATCGATTTTTTTGCATGGTTCAAGCTACGGGGCTGGGGTTTGGCACGCGGGGGTAATCGAGCATGCTGACGAATGTGATAACCATTTTCATAAATACCATTACTTTTATCATTCTATCGATTTTTCTGCAGATTGTGAACTACGTGACTGGGAGTTGGCATACGGGGGTAAGGGAACATGCTGATTACGAATATCATAACATTTCAGAAAATACCCCTTACTTCTATTGGTTTAATTGATTTTTTGCAATGTTTGAACTATGGCGTTGGGGATTGGTACAGGCTGGTAATTGAGCATGCTGCTCACGAGCACATTCTTATTTTACAACTTGTCACTTACCTTCAGTGGCTTTATCGATTTTTTGCAAAGTTTAAGCCAGGAACTGGGATTTGGCACATGGGAGAAAGCGAGCATGCCGATTACGATTGTAATAAGTGTTCTTAGAAGAACCTATTATTTTTGTCGATTTTTCTATTCTTTGTAAAATTAGAGCTACGCGGCTGACATTGCACAAAGTTGTATGTGAGCACGCTCACTGCAAAGATAGTTTTTGAGAATTTCCATTACTTTTATTGATTTCATCTTTTTTTCAAAGCTGAAGCTACGAGGCTCAGATGGCACTAATCCGGGGAGTGAGCATGCTGAGAATTCTATAATCACACTCGGAAATAACGAACGCGGTAAATTTACCTAAAGTTGTTATAAATTCACTTTGGCCCGCCTTTACCTTTTTGAATCCTACTTCTGCCCCCAAAATCAGAAAAGCACATAGAGCCTGGTTTCGAGGGAAGAAAATGCTTATAAACTGAGGCGGCAAGCAGTGGCGGACCGAGGGGGGGGGCGGGGGGGGGGGCCGCCCCCCCCCCCGAGAATGGGTCGCGAAATTTTTGAAACTTACCTATATGGGTTATAAAAATGTGCAAACGACTTGTTAATTTATGTAAATAATTGAAATAATTTTTAAAATTTTTTAAAAATTCAAATTAGTTTTATAAAAAAATTTTCGGTGGCGTGGCTGACGCCACGCTCCCTTTTTTCAGATTTTAGGGGTTGGGGACCCGCAAAAATTTAGAGAAGCACCCCAAAAATTCTTTCGGAGTGCGTGGCTAACGCCACGCACCTTCATTTGAAAAAATTTTTGTCGCGCCCCCCTCGGTCCGAAATCCTGCGACCGCCACTGGCGGCAAGATATTTCGGTACTTTTCCGTTATCTGGACCCATTTTTTCAAAGAAGAGTATTGATTCCATCCTTGTGCCATATTTGGTCTCAGCTTTACAGGGAGGAGTGCCAACCTTCTGCCACATGTCAAAAAAATTTAAAATGTCATTTACATGCTTAACAGGTTTTACTAAGAGTTTTCATTCAATCTGTTTTGTAGTCAATTTCAACCTCATTTCGATCAAGCATTTCAAAGTGAACATTGTCATAATAATAACGACATACTCTTATCGATGAACAGACTAGACTTGCTCGGAATAGAGAAGTGCGTGAGATGAAATCATTTAAGAGGCAAAATAAGCGGCAGCAAGGGACTTTAAGCTTCATTTATAGTCTTTTCCGGCTAAAATCGCATGGCCAAAAAGATTTGAAGAGAAAAGCATTATTAAATCACCACTGAAAGCAAGCAAGATGATCTAAAACAACTTCATGATTGTTTTGCTTTTATGCAAAACAATTAAACAGCTCAAAAGTGACTACAATCTCTTTTACCTCCCCGGAAATGGTTTCGAAAAAAAATCATGTCAGAATGAACCGAAAAGTGTCAATTTTTTTGTGACACGTGGCAAGGAGGTAGTCCTCGTAGAAACTATAAAAAAATTATTCTTAGACTAAAGAAAGTATCACATGGGAGCCTTTCGAAGAAATGGGTCCGGATAACGGAAAAGTACCGATATTTTCGCTAAGAATTTCTACGAGTCAATATCTAATTATACAGAAATTTCCTTAAATTCACTTCTGTCCCTTCCACTCTGCAAAAACCATACTTCTGCCTCTGAAAGCAGAAAAGTGGTCTCTGGGGAAGGACAGACCCATGAGCTTCATCCGGCACGGCATTTTCACTGAAACTTTAGGCTCTCAAACTGCAAAAACCACAAAACTCAAAAATCACATATCTGGCCCTAAAAGCAGAAAGACAGGGAGCTTGGTCTCGATGGAAGAAAGAATTATGGCCTCAGGCAGCAAGAGACTTTCGCCAGAAGTTTCTGGGTGTCAATGATTATACAGAACTTGCTTGAAATTTACTTCTGGCCTTTTGGTCTCGAGGAGAAAACACTAATAAGCTCAGCCAGCAAGATACTCTCGCTGAAACTTTCTGGGTGTCAATGTTTATTCATACTCAAACTTGCTTCAAAAATTTATTTCTGGCCCCTCTGCTTTGCAAAAAAAAACCATACTTCTGCCTCTAAAAGTAAAAAATCACAAAGTGCTCTCGAGGGAAGGACAGACCCATGAGCTTCATCCGACAGGACAGTCTCGCTAAGACGTTTGACCCCTAGACTTCGCAAAAACCAGTACTTCTGCCCCTAAACGCAGAGAAGCACAGAAAATCCAGTCTCGGGGGAAGAAAGAATCATGGCTTTAGGCAACAAGGTATTCTCGCCAGAAGTTTATGGGTGTCAATAATCATACAGAAACTTGCTTAAAATTTACTTCTGGCCATTCTACTTTGCAAAAACCACACTTCTTCCTTTAAAAGCAAAACAGTACAGAAAGCTTGGTCTCGAGAAAATGGCAGAACCATGAGGCTTCATGCGACAAACATTTTCGCTAGGGCGTCTGACCTCCTAGACTTCGCAAAAACCAGTGCTTCTGCCCTGAAAGCAGAAAAGCACAGGGATTTAGTCTCTAGGGAGAGACAGACCCATGAGTTTTATCCGACAGGACATTTTCTAAGACTTTTGACTCCCAAACTTCGCAAAAAACCATAAAACTCAAAAACCACACTTCTGGCCCAAATAACAAAAAAGCACAAGGAGCTTGGTCTCGAGGGAAGTAAGGATTATGGCCTCAGGCAACAAGATGTTTTCGCCAGAAGTTTCTGGTTGTCGATGTTTCATTATACAGAAACTTGTTTGAAATTCGTGGCCATTCTACTCTGCAAAATCCATACTTCTACCCCTAAAAGCAAAACAGCACAGATAGCTTGGTTTCGAGGAAAAGAGACTCATAAGCTCAGCCAGCAAGATATTTTCGCTGAAAACTTCTGGGTGTCAATGTGTATTCTACAGAAACTTGTTTAAAATTCACTTGTGGCCATTCCACTCTGCAAAAACCAGACTTCTGCCTCTGAAAACAGAAGAGTGGTCTCGAGGAAAAGACAGACCGGGAGACGGTCAAGAGGCGCGATTTTTCTGGCTGTCACCAACTTAAAACTTCAGTTTCTCGCTGTGGGAGTGTTCAAAAAGTGTCGGACAAAGTCCATCGGCTTACTAGCTGTTTGAAGTAACCATTTGATAAGTTCGACGACTTTTGCTAGAAAACTGACCGAAATAGTTACAAAATTGCTATAAACTGCATTTTCATGGGTTTTTGACCTTCAACAATTTTGTTTTGAATCGCTTTCAAAATGATAAGATCGAAGAATTCCTGCAATTCTCTAATGTACTTCTTTTGAAATTTCAAATAATCCTGGAACTTCATAAAACACTAAGTATGTGCTATATACTGCCCATCTGGTAATAAGAATCGCGCCTCTTGACATACATCCAAACAGACCCATGAGCTTCTTGCGACAGGAAATCATCTTTGCTGAAAATTCTGGCCTTCTGAACTTTGCAAAAACCACACTTTTGTCCCTAGAAGCAAAAAACAGGGAGCTTGGTCTCGAGGGAAGAAAAGACTCAGGGCTCAGGCAGCAAGATATTTGCGCTAAAAGTTTTTAGGTGTCAATATTTGATTATACAGAAACTTGCTGGAAAAATTACCCTTCTTCTCAACCATACTTCTGCTAAAAGCGGAAGCATAAGGAGCTTGGTTTCGAGGGAAGGAAAGAACTAGAATTTTATACGACAGGACAGTTTCGGTAAGATTGTCCTTCAAAAGAAGGCGCTGGGCCAGCTTCTGTTCAAGAAATGAGCCCGTTCACTGGCAAGACATCATCGAAGAAAATGCTGCTTCGTTTTTACCGACATATCTGAGTTTTTGGCTGCTGGAAGACATAAATCGACGCTTCCTTTAACATGGCACTTTCCTGGAAATCAATCTGAGTTTTGGGATAAATCAGCTGCTCTAAACAGGTGCTTCGAGGTAGCTTCCTTGTTTAAGAGCTGTGGTATCTGGGCAAAGGTATGTGCAAGAAAACAGCAAACATGCTATGCGCATAGTCAGTGGTAGGAGCTTCTTTTCCTAAGAGCATATTGTTTTGTTTCTACTACTCACAACATGCGAAAGGTCGCTGGGAAGATGAAAATTCTCTTTCTTGGGATTTTAGTTAATTAATGGCAGATATCAATGTATCTGCCCCCACCCACCTACTAGCGACCCGTAGGGTCGCTAGTCTTATATATAAAGCTGAATGTCTGTTTGTCTGTATGTCTGTCTGTATGTATGTACGTATGTTCCGAATAGAAAATTCCATTTCTGAACCGATCCGGACCAAACTTGGCACACATACACTACGGGCCCCGGCGGGTGTCATAGGCTACTTTTCGTCATCGATCGATATCGATTTTATCGATTTTTATCGATTTTTTTGCTGAGTTCACCTACGAGGCTGGGAGTTGGCACAGGGGGGTAATCGAGCATGGGGATTCCGAATACAATATTGGTTTTCAGGAATCGATTACTTTTATCGATTTTATCGATTTTTTTGCAAAGTTTGAGCTACGGGGCCGCGAGTTGGCACAGGGGGGTAATCGAGCATGGGGATTCCGAATACAATATTGGTTTTCAGGATTATCGATTACTTTTATCGATTTTATCGATTTTTTTGCAAAGTTTGAGCTACGGGGCCGGGAGTTGGCACAGGGGGGTAATCGAGCATGGGGATTCCGAATACAATATTGGTTTTCAGGATTATCGATTACTTTTATCGATTTTATCGATTTTTTTGCAAAGTTTGAGCTACGGGGCTGGGAGTTCGCACAGGGGGGTAATCGAGCATGGGGATTCCGAATACAATATTGGTTTTCGGGATCATCGATTACTTTTATCGATTTTATCGATTTTTTTGCAAAGTTTGAGCTACGGGGCTGGGAGTTCGCACAGGGGGGTAATCGAGCATGCTGATCATTCCCAAGGGGGGTGATCAGCATGCTCGATTACACCCCTGTGCCAAATTCCAGCCCCCTAGCTCAAATTTTCAAAAAATCGATAAAATCGATAAAAGTAATGGACGATCTTGAAGACTAATATTGTATTCGTAATCTGCATGCTCGATTACCCCCTGTGCAAACTCCCAGCCCCGCAGGTCAAACTTTACAAAAAAATCGGTGAAATCGATAAAAGTAATGGACGATCCTGAAAACTAATATTGTGTTCGTAATCAGCATGCTCGATTACCCCCCTGTGCAAAATCCCAGCCTCGCATGTCAAAATTTACAAAAAATCGATAAAATCAATAAAAGTAATCGATAATTCTGAAAACTAATATTGTATTCGGAATCCCCATGCTCACTTCCCCCCCTGTGCCAACTCCTAGCCCTGTAGGTGAACTCTGCAAAAAAATCGATAAAAATCGGTAAAATCGACATCGATCGATAACGAAAAGTGGACTGTGACACCCGCCGGGGCCCGAAGTGTATGTGTGCCAAGTTTGGTCCGGATACGGCGGAGCCGGGTAAGCCAGCTAGTATATATATATATATATATATATATATATATATATATATATATATATATATATATATATATATATATATATATATATATATATATATATATATATATATATATATATATATATATATCGCATCTTGCAGGGCTAGTGTCATCGAATATCTTTCCTTTGTCAGTCTCATATAGCATCCACACATTTTTTCAAAACTAAAAGGTCAGCAGACTACAATAAAACAATTTTAAAGCATTCAGTTGTACTGTCCGGGAAATCTTTGAACCCCGTGTAATGGTACCTTGCTACTTTGATCGTGTCAGTCAATTAACAAGTTAACGAAAACAACATCATCTACACATTTGTTTTTTATAAGACCTTCTCTTCTAATCTCGCCGAGTAAGACCTTCCATTATTGAGATCCGAACGAAAGGACATGTTGTAGCAGTTTTAGGCTCAAAACTTTGGTTGCTATCATTAAATCTCAGCATAACAGTTGATTACCATAGAAAGCCTTAGGACAACTTCCCTGTTTTTAGGATATGCTCTGTGACTACACCGACGAATTTGTGAACGAGCTCGTAAGTCATGTCTGCAAGCTGGTCAAACATCGCGGCAATCATCGAATCGAGGCTCGAGACGTGGAATTCGTACTCGATATGGTGTACAAGATGCCATCAGCTCCGCGTGCTTCTGTCCATGTATTCGGCGCTCCGGCGCCGATACGCCCAGACCGTATCACTCCTCAACCCACCGAGGCGCATAAACAACGCATGTTACTGATTAAGAAAGTAGTAAAAAAGCCTTGACTATGTACATTGCACTGGATGTTCATTCCTGCTTGCGGGTTCTTTTTTTGCGTCTTTTGCACATCTTCTAAGTATGGGTGCAGTACTGAATTTGATAATTCTTTTTCAATGATTAATTTCCCGGTTTTTGCATTGCACAACGTTTTTTCCGCTACCATCTGTATCGTTTCGTTTTTTTTTGTTCTTATATTTGGACATTTGATCATGCTTCTAATTGTTCGCCATCATAATTGTTACATCCTAATGGGGATAATATCACACAGACCACTTTTTTGAATTCATCTGCCTATAATAGGGCTCCGTTTTGCTTTTTGAAAGAAGTTCAACACCGTTCAAAATCATTTTTTGACTTTGTTTTGCGGAGATTTGCAGCAGAGTGTTTTGTCCCATGTGTTTTCCTAAGGACATCGACTGCAGATAGAAATGAATTTTTTTTTGCACAGGTGCCTATAGTTTTGTGACTAGAACGTGTTATGGGAAGATCTACGTGCAATCTTTTGTTTTTGTATATTTTTGCTGAATAAATAACTACTAAATGAACCTTCGAATGTGCTTCTAAGTCAAACCGTTTCGTTCGGTGTCGATGTTGCGTCTGCACCATTTCGTTGACTGATGTTATCTCTTCTTAGCAATAGCGGACCGATCGTTAAAGCGAAGAACGTTGTTTTTTGAAGGTTAGAGCACAAAACACATATAATTCATGACACCAATTCTTTATCACTGGTCTTCTCGAGTTTTCTTCTTCATTCTCACCCCTTGTGTTGGCACCATTCGCAAGTTCATGGATTTTTCTGTCTCCATTTACTGATTTTTTTCATTGGTCTTTGCACCGCCATCATGTTTGGATCCTTTTCTCATAAGAATTAGCATTGAATTCTCAAGGCATTTTATAGGTCTTTCACAGCTGAAATTGCTGGATTCATCATTTCTTTCTTTGCAGCATCAAATTTTCCAACAAATGTTCCTCGGCACATCTTATTCTTCTCATTTCCTCTTTTCTTTTGTTCTTCGGTCGCGTTGTTTTCGGACAATGACGAACTTTTTGACACTTGTCAAGTTTAAGATTGAGATGAATAATTCGCATGAAGTTTTCTTAGGCAAAGGAATCTATTGGAAGGGAAGAGAAAGCGTTTTGTAAACATCCTAGAGATAGTAATGTGATTCTGTTTTGAACTCTTCGAGGAGTGTTGTCGAAATACCAGGCTGTTCTGATATCAAATCAACAGGAGAGAAAAGTACAGTTAGAAATTATCAAAGTAGTGTGGTCTTCTTCAAAACGCAGTGTTTTTATTTCGCACAAATATCTAACACCTGTGATTCCCACCTTTACAATGCTATCTTTGATGAATTATTGAAGATTCCCACTTCTTTCTCTTTAGGTTATTCATAGTTGTTCTGAAGTCAGCGACCTTTGGTTTTTGTGCAGATACTGGCAGCCAAAATATGTTGCACTTGTCATTTCTTTTTTTTTATTTGATCGTTGACATCCGCAAAAAGTTGGCCCGAACAACGTTGCAGTAATATTTTTCAGTGCTTAGAGAATATCAAAGGTCTGACACTATCTTATCACTATTTATGGCACAAGATTATAAGGATAATTGCCAGATTTTATTCTGTCAAAGATTGTTGTGGAGAAGTGCTTGAGAGAAAGAAATCAATGGGAAGGGGGTGACGTACTGATAGCGTTCATTGCTGAGTTGCCGGATTTTATCGTGCTTTTAAAAATGTGCCGAAGCAGTTGTTTTAAGATTTGCTGTATTTTTCACATTTGCCCATTTTTCTTAACTGTGATTTGATCTATTTAAGTGATTTCTGTGGAAACTAAAGATATACGTTCTGTGAGCTTATCTAATCTCCTTTCTCATGTAATCAAAAAAATGCGAAAGAATGATAAATAAACTTGAATTTTTGGCATCTCTAGTCCTTTCTGAGCTTGAAGACGATCTTTTGGAGTGTGTTCGGTACCACAAGACGCACCTGGACCAAAATGGCATTCTATTTCTTGCGGCAGTGCCTTCAAAGCATCATGGTTCAGCTCAAATTTATTGCTGTAATAATTCAAGACTTTAACAACCCTTTTGCCTGACGATTGTATCAAATAATAGCTTATGCCTGGTCTATGAGAGCTATAGAACATTATGCGGCAGTAGCCATATCGCTTGTTATTGATCATATTGCGTGATGAAGTTAAAATGTCCATATTTCTGTTTCGTCTGTCTCATCTGTATTATCGTCTTTACCTACCTCAGGTGATCCATTATTTTTACTCATTTAGTGTCTTGCAAGTTCATTTTTTTCGGTCAATGGGTTCAAGAAGATTAGGACTTCTTACGTAGTATTATGTGACCTTTAAGTTTTCAGCAATTCTAAGCTTTTTGGGGCAGGAAGGGCACTTCGTTCAATGCTCATAAGAAAAAAATGACCGACTGCTGTAGGTCGGAGTGGGTGTTTGGCACACTGACAAGTATCCTGACTATCAGGTGATCGTTGCGTGTTCTATTGCGTCTGCAGGCATTTCTTTATCGCTACTTCCCGAACATTCTGCTCAAGCCAGACTTCTCGGTCTAGTTTCATTCTTTTTGGAGAAGTGCCAAATATTTTATGCTTCGTGAACATTAGCATCTTGCCTTCTGCAGACGATTATCAGAACCTGTTTCTTGGTGTTAAGTTATGTTTGCATCCTGCTTTGTCATTCTTTTTCTCCAGATGGGATTTTCTATACAGTTACATGCGCTGATATTTTAAAGCAATAATTACTTCTCGTAAATTGCATTGGTCATCAGTCGCAAACACTGAAAAGTGATCCAACTTTTATAGTTCAAATCACTCACCGGAATAACAGTCAAATCAAGTTGGAGCTATTTCTTCTGTATGATAGCTCATTATTGCTAGATTTTAAAAGATCGCAACCTGCTCCCAGACAGTATCTCCACGTTACAGCTATGTAAGTATTTTTGACTCGTGCAGGCTTGAAGATCCCAAAAACTACTCATCTATCAAGCTAATCTCGCATCCTGATAGATAGATCTGCAGAGAAAAGACGGCTGCGCACCAGGTGCCAGTCTTAAAACGCAGCGATCGGGGCCGCCCCATTAGAAACTTACTCTTCACGCTGTCTTATCTCCATGATGTTCATCCACCACCACCATATTATTCTCTATGCCGTCATTTTCAGTGTATTCATAGTCGAGTGCGGGTGTGTCGAGATGTGAGTCCGTTATGCCGTATCGTTACCTACCGTAACCTACCGCCCGACATGTTGTAGGTGCGAAATATGCCACTTATGCCGCCTGGTATGCCTAAACGGAAATCCGACGAAGCGCTGGACGACTCAGCACCTGACGAAAAGTGAATCTGACTCTCTTGAATCTGTGTGCCCACACATGCGATGAGACCGGGACATGATGCTGCTGCAAACACCCTGAACCCTATGGTCGCTAGCTGCTGACTGATGCCAAATCGCCTCTCAGAAGCTGAGCTGCGGGCCATCGTTCCTGAAAAGTCGCATAGGCATTGCAAGGGGCGGTATCAGCCAATCCAATCTCGAACGGGCGCTTTACCGTTATAAACGAGCATCCATCGCCCGATCGGATTCTCTTTTGTAATGGTGGAACAGCGCTCAATCGAAGATTGGGAGATTGATAGATATCGACCCAGGAGTTCTGTAGTGCTCGCTTCCTTTCCTATATGACAGCATTCGCCTCTTGCTTCTGCTAGCGGGATTGATAGAATGCACTAAAGGAAGAATCTGCTAATAGATAGCTTATTTATCAAGGGCTTTTGCTTTATAGCTAGAAGTTGTCGGACGCGGCGCCTGCTCAAGATATTTCGCTTTTGATTTTTTTTTCAAGTGAAGCGTTAGTGATTACCACCTGCTCCTTTTAAAACGAGAAGAAATCCTAATGCAGTGATGCGATCTGTAATTCAACTTAACTATCAGTGGGCGTTTCTAGCGTTCGGCATGTGTTTGCCAATGTCTGCCAAACAAATTAAGACTACGGCTGCGAATCGAAAGAGGTCTTCACTAGCAAGCTGATTTTTTCTTTTCATTTTACTCGGAAAATTCATTTGAAAACTCATTCAAATCAGGAACAAAGAAACCTCTCGCTTTTGTTGATCATTTTGATCTCGACCAGTTTTGCATAGTCGGATAGAAAAAAAATTTGAATCACTTTACAAAATCTCGACTGTTTTTTTTCCGAAAAAATTCTGGCCTTGTTCGACGCTTTCTCATAGAAAATCTTGAGGTAAATGAACCACACAAATGAATTTGCTCTTTCTAGAAGCAAATTTTGTTTCATGATGATATAAACTTCATTGGGCAAATCAACTGCAACGATGCAATTGCGAAAAAAATTTTTTCGTTGAAATTTTGGAAATTTTTTGCTGAAGTTCACACGAATACCTGAAGTGTTCAGTTGGCAGTTCAGTTTTGTGTGGAATTTCGCTATCATCCCGAATATAACTGCTGATCTTCCTGCAGACTTTGTAGCTCTGGAAAAGCGCTGACTTATTAGGCATTGCTTAATCAAATAAAAAAGCCAAATATCATTATTAATTGCGATCAATCGCTGTGATCAAATAATTCGAAGGCGATCGCATTTTTAGGCGCGTATGTGACCTTCGCAACGTACAGCAAGGTAGATACTATCATTTCAACTCAAGTCTTATCATTACGAATGTTTCGCCGAATCGGCGCTTGTTAGTGCTATTATCAATTTTATCACTGTTGGGGTGGTATGGGCTTACCCATAGCAAAGACACTTCGTCCTTTTGCCCGAATCGCATCGAACTGCATCGATTGCCTGATTGCATGTGCACTTTTTGACGCCGTGCTTGCCAAAAATTTAAATTTGCGACTTTTTTACTTGGTTTCTTGTATAGTCTTCAAAAAAAATCATCATGATCGACAGCGTTTCAGTTGAGAACCGTTCAAGGCAGAAGCAGGGCAAAGTTTTTTTTATAAATTTGTTTCAACATAAAGGGCGTTTAGGATATACCGCAGTTCTTGATTTTTTGTTCTATTTTTTGTTTTAGGAAGCGCTCGGTAGAAAAGATGGCTCAAGTCACCAGACACATTATCCATACAGCTACTGCCCCTGCGGCTGTTGGTCCATATAGGTATTTGGCATTTATCTATCTGTGATGTACTCTATCAACTATTCCTTCTGCATAGAACAAAAAACTCTATATTGAAAAAAAATTGATACTCGCCAGTATTTTTTTTGAACAAGTATCGTTTTAGATGCTCTATTAACTGTGCAAGATTTTAGATCTTTTCTCTTACTCTTTTTTGCTTTTTCAAATTTTTATGCAATCTGGCTTCTCAGTCCCTCATTTTTGAAGTACCTGCAAGAAATTCTGAATATACCGTACATATTCTTTTAATCCATAGTAACTGATTTCAAATTCAGCTACGGAATAGATAGAGTGGAAAGATAGAGTAATAAAAATATGTGTTTGCTTGTGAAAAATACTAGCGGTGACAATCCGAAAGTCTTTTTTGTGAGCAAGGAAGGGGTGAAGGGGTCGAAATCAGCATGAAAATAGTGTGCTTGGACAAGGCCTGCTAGATTCTCTTCAATTCAAAATGTATGATCTTACTATCTTTTGATGCACTTTCTACAATCGACTTTCCTTGCCACGTCATCAGATTAGTACAGACCAAATAATCGAATCAACCTTTGCTCATAACTTTTTACGATGCGAGGACATTACCCATCACTTTTTTCTTTATATTGATGTCGATAATGCCGAAAGTTCATTTGAATTTTCATAACGATCATGATTCGCTATAGAATAGCACCGATGTGTTTATATAGATGTTAATGAGTGATTATTTCAGCCAAGCAGTTCGCGTTGACAATACTATCTACATCAGTGGCTCATTGGGATTGGATCCCAAGAGTGGTGAGCTGAAGGGAGGCATAAAAGAGCAAACGCACCAGTCCTTGAAGAACATTGGGGAAATTTTGAAGGCGGCCGGGGTTGGCTATGGGAACGGTAGGCATGAAAAACGAAAACTTCCGAATCTTCGAGTTCATTTATGTTTAGTGGTAAAAACAACAGTTCTGCTGGCAAATATCGATGACTTCACCACCGTCAACGACATCTATAAGGAGTACTTTACCGCAAAGTTCCCAGCCAGAGCTGCCTATCAGGTTACAATGGCTTAGTCTTTAGGGAGGCCTTTTTATTATGTGAGCTTCAGGTGGCTGCCCTGCCGAAGAAGGCCCTTGTTGAAATTGAAGCCATTGCCGTAGCAGGTGAACTCAAGGACGCATGAAGTACCAGCACTGATAGCAATTTGTTACTAAGCCCGGTGGTTGATTTTTTGAAATTTATAGTGGTTATATGTAAGCAAATGAATATACTGCCATGTTCTCGTTTCATTAATAAAAATGCTCATGCAATCTTATCTGTGACTGTTAGTTTCACTCTTATATTTATAATCTTGTATGCATACAATGACCAGTTTCCCCGAACTTATATTTTTGTGTGCGTTATTAGGTTTGAAGGTTGAGAGAGTAATGCTTGATTTTTGTCTCTTTTATGCAAAGTTTCAAACGGCAGTAATTCAAACCTGTCGCAGTATTCGTTTATAGCTATTGAATCTTATCTGTATGAAAATGTATAGCTCTATGACATCCATTGTGCCACATGTGTTTCGAATACAGTGGTTGAGAAAAAATCCCATCGCAGTTGATTGTAGAGCCGACCAGAATCAGAGCTATACCCGATATTGCGACTGAACATCTGCATTCTGGATAAGGGGATTGTGAGCTCAAACAATAGATTCTTAGCTCTCAACGATGTCTGTACAGAGGCGCAAAGCACTCAACACTGAAAATTATGTTAGTCCAAAATGAGCAAAGCATCTTTTGATCTGCAGTCTTTTCACTAAGTGGCTATACATATTCAAGTACCGATCTGAAGGAGAAGCTTCAACAAATGGGTGGGGAAAAGGGACTTCCAACATTGCAGTCTTGGACAGCAATTTTTTTTCCCATACTGTTTCAAGTAACATCTTTCTTGATGCAAATACTGAGCCCTACTTTGTTGTTAAAGACAGAAATTCAATAATATCTTGGGTGGAGGTGGGCAGCAATCTAGCAGCAGACGGTGTTTAGCATCTAGAGAGGATTTTAGCAACTTTATCGCTCCAAATGGCGCCATACAACACCAAAATTCTGTTGCAGGACGAGCGCAGTTGTTGCGGGTGTGGTGCGCAACTTCGTTTGCCACAGTGGTGTTGGCCAAATCCATTTCGTTGCTCATTGCTCTTCCCTGGTGTATGCAGATACTTAATAATATGTTAAAGGCAGTGTCTCATCAAAATTTAGTTGCCGAGATTTTTGCATTTTACAAACCTGTCGGACCTTATCTAGCTGTATGGGCTTGAAATCGCACGAAGTTTCCAAAAATCCCGTTTTCTGGAGGCCCCGCGGAAGCAACGTGGACGAGTTGTACCTTCCAACTTCAGCTTCAGCAACAGTGGCAGCAACAGAGGTGAGGTGGATTCCAAGTGGAGGGATATGTTCAAAGCGTAAGGGGGGAGACCGAAGGAGTCGTCCGCGCGTACCAACTCGCTCTCCGCGTACCACTATGAGCGAATTTTTCTCAGCGTGGAGGGGGTCAAATTGAGTGGGACTTGTTGCAATGGCCTGATTAGAGGTCTCAATAGAATATGTGAAGATCCGCGCGACCTTAACTCTGGTGAGACACTGCCTTTAAGACATGAGTGTCTATCACGGTTGGTAATGAACAAGATTATGCTCACACATAATGCTTAGCTATGTACAATTATCGGTGCAGATGGCAACGCAGGGTCCGCGCATGGTTGTGCAAAACTTCGCCCGCTGCAATGGCGTTGTGCAACACCACTTCCTTGCTGCAGGCAGCGAGCAGCGCAAGTGTTGCGGATGGTCCGCTCGTTGCAACAGTGTTGTGCAACACCACGTTATTGCTGCGGAGTGGTGTTGGAAAACTCCGCTCGCTGCAACGGCGTTGGCAACACCACTTTATTGCTGCAGACGGCGAGCATTTAAGTGTTGCGGATGGTGCTGGAAAACTCCGTTCGCTGCAATAGTGTTGTGCAACACCACTTTACTGCGGCAGACGGCGAGCAGTTTAAGTGTTGCGGATGGTGCTGGAAAACTCCGCTCGCTGCAACAGCGTTGGCAACACCACTTTATTGCTGCAGACGGCGAGCAGTTTAAGTGTTGCGAATGGTGCTGGAAAACTCCGTTCGCTGCAATAGTGTTGTGCAACACCACTTTATTGCTGTATACGGCGAGAGTTTAAGTGTTGCGGATGGTGCTGGAAAACTCCGTTCGCTGCAATAGTGTTGTGCAACACCACTTTATTGCTGTATACGGCGAGAGTTTAAGTGTTGCGGATGGTGCTGGAAAACTCCACTCGCTGCAATAGTGTTGTGCAACACCACTTTATTACTGTAGACGGTGAGCGACGCGAGTGTCGCGGGTTGTGTTGCGCAATCTAGCCTCGTGCGGAGTTGTGCAATAACGTTCTGACGTTAGACAACGCAGGTTCGAGAATGGTGCTGACCATACTCTCCACTTGCAAGTGGCTCGAATACTTTTACTAGTTGCGCTGTACAGAGACTGAGCGTTATGTTTCCATGGAAGGGCACTTAGCAGTATCTTTTTTGAGTACTTGATCAACAGTCTAATCACACTCATATTGAGCAGAAGTTTGGGAAGTGCCTACAGACAAGAAATCCACTTCACCGCATAAGATATATTATAAGTACGCTTCTGTGCGAAGAGGATTGAAACCTTCTATTTCACAAATGTGCAAATACTTTTACATGCTGCGCAGCAATTACAGTCATTTACCTCCTTTTTAGATTAGCAGAAGCATACGCATGAGGCTGCTAAAAGAAGCATGTCCAATTTTGCTCACCGCTTTCGCGGTTGGCTTGTCGATTATAAGTGGCGTTTTGCTCCACTTGTCCACATGAACCTTGCACGACGTGATCGCAATACCATACCTCTTACCATAAACATCACGAAGGAAGAAGTCGGTGAGAAATTTTGAAGTAGTGCTTTGAAGTTGGGCTTATACTGATCCGGAAGTCTTGAGATAGTTCCAGCACAATTCTCGAACTGCGCTGGAACAGCTAAGGAATTTTCGGATCAATATGATCCCAGCATTAACGTTCAGTGTGCCTGGAGTTCATTGAAAGAAGAATAGCGGGGAAATAATCTCTCTTTTTGTCCTTATCACTAGACGGTTATCTCTTTATGTCGTTCATGTTTTAGACTATCTGATTTTAGATTCGCAACTGCAATCCGTTCTGAGGATACTGTCATCAGAATTTGCTCCGCTTGACTTCCACAAGCGTATTCCAGCCGAGCAACGAGCTCGGGCCACTGAGCTGCTAACCAAACATTTGTCATTCGCGCTTGTGAGGAAATCAAGCAGTTTAAAAGGATGTGGTCAAGGAATTTTTGTTGCGAAAGGTTTGAAATTTGAAATTCTAGTGAGAATTTGGATGTGAGCTGTGAAAATCGATAGATTCTAGGACCAGTACCCGCTCTTCGGGTTGTTGCGCTCTACTCAGGCACGATATACGACCCTTGGGATTCGATTCTCTTACAGTCCATAGGAAACCATTTTGTGCTGCGATGTCAGGACGGAGTGACCATTGACGGAAATGACGTCCGGCTTTCACGTTGGATACACCGCTCATGCGCCTATCGCGATCTGTCACCAGCAATCAGCGATCTCACTTGGCTGGAGGTAAGAAACTTGTTTTTGTGGACGCGAGATGAGTGGAGAAAGTAAAACTCTAGGACACTCCCTTCAACTATCTCAATATGGGCCACTATGTGAACAATGAACCAGCTCCTAATGCTCACAATGTCCAGTACGTTGATCTGGACATTCATCAGTGGCCACTACGCCTGCGAAAATTCTTGCCTTATTCTGTCTATTCTCCACATAGGGTTCTTCCGCTGAGAGTGGTTGTTTTGGTGTCTGTAAGAGAGATTGCCGAAGGAGAAGAGTTGTTTTCAGCTTATGTTTCGAGGTAGTAATTGCACCTATACGCCCATTTGCTACTCCGTACGTTTTTGTACGTCAAAAGACCACAACGTTTGGCTAAATCTGACATTTTGAGCGCTTTCTAGTTTCTGTCTGTTACCCCTATTTCTGCTCACGTCTTTTTTTATTGAGGCACAGATAAGAGATTTGCTTCATCTTGTGTTAGACTTCTTTTATAAACAGTATCGTTCCATAAGCACACTCCAAAAGACTTTCATTTTGAAAGTTTATTTACAAAAAGGTAACACTATCTTGGCAGCCAAGGTCTTCAAATAGGAGCATCGTGTCCATCTGCAATGAGAATATGTCATTGAAATCAGGACGAAAGGTTTAGAATTGAGTTTCTCGGCCGCGAATGAATATTATGAGGTCTCGCTTGAGCAGTAAGACAAGGGCTCCCAATTAGCTTCCACATAGAAAGTTCCACGATGAAACATCGCTTTTCAAGCTTTCGCATTCAAAAACCAGGCCAGGTCGTTTGGGATTCTCATAACAGAAATAATTACCTTGAAGTTAGCGCTTGTGCTTTCTTTTGAGTTTAGGTCCGTTGGATTCTTCCACGGGAGGCCTCAAAGTGAAACGCTTGGCATAATTAGATGAGGAAGTGTCACTTACTCATCGTCTACCGACGCTGCAGATGAAGGTATTAGAACTGCAAGAGCGATGCTAAGCACAACCAGCAGATATGCGAACAACCGCATTATGAGTAGAGTAAGATCTATGCGCTATCTTTTATGCATGGCTTGATAAGCTTTTTGATATCGGTGAGATATCGATGCCACTTGTTTGACATGTCAGCCATTGCAAATTCCGGCCTTGTCCACTCTTTCTTGTAAGCGAATTTTTTGGAGAATGAGCTATAGGCCATGGCTCCAAGTTGCCAAGATAAACAGTGTCACTCTAATACTCAACAGTATTTGTAAAAAATAAAAAACCGAGGAATTCTAGTTTTTATCACAATTCAAGCGATAATCATCAACATGACGACCACGACCCACTATCTGTTACTCTCAACTCGTTTGATCCGTGCATACTTGTCGGGTCCACATCAGCTGTCCCTCCTCTTGGAGCGGGTTGTAAAGCCCGCTGGAGGACAGTGACCCCCGACGACCGCTACCAGCAGGTTGCCCCTGCGGCCTCTTCCCCTTTTCCCCACTTCCCCTCTATATATATCTTTAATAATAAATATTAGTAAATAAGACTTATGTACTTACCGCTACACATCAGGTAAAGGACCTGCAGGTCCTTTACCTGATGTGTAGCGGTAAGTACATAAGTCTTATTTACTAATATTTATTATTAAAGATATATAGAGGGGAAGTGGGGAAAAGGGGAGTTCTTCCGGGTAACGTGTGTTGGAATTTACACGTGATTTACGGCGAGAACGTACAGTTGGCGTGATGATATGTTAAAATACATACAGAAATGAGGATATGGATCCGGTGGACTGCGAGCAGACACGACCTTCACCTAGAATATCCTATGGCGTTGAGTAAGATCGTCCTCGAGCTTGAAGGTAGCTGAGGAGAGGGGGAGGAACTGCGGAGAGATGCAGTTGATGTAATTGGGGTTCCCGACGTGATGCTGGGAAGGAGTTGGAGTGGAAATGTAGGTAATGGAGATGGACCGATTGATTTTAAAGCTTGGTAAAAAGGGAGTTGATCGGAGGGCAAATGAGTTAACATTTGGGGCGGAGTTTACAGCATGTAGAAAATTGTAGTATGAAATTACTGAACATACGAAGTAGAAGGTATGAGGAAAAAAATTGGTTAACAGCAAATTATTTTACGATGGTAATAATGGTAATAAATGCATGATACATATACGCAAGAAAAAATTTTAACAGTAATTTCTAGGCAATTATAAAACATAATTCAATAGTAATTTTACAAAAAAAATTACAAAATTTAGTTCACAGGAACATTTTCTGTGAATAATTGCATGTAAAACAGAGGCGTAACGAGTTCGTATGTTGAATTGGGCACTGCACACTTTGTTTTCATTCAACATAAGGGCAAAATTTGTTTGTGACAAAAAGGTTTTTGATGTTGAGCTGCCTAGTGCGAAAGATTTCTTTGAATTGCCTGTTCAAAGAAAATTTTAAGAGACGTAAATACGCGACGGTGCAGCAGAAATAGGGGAAACAAACTGACCTTAGAAAATGAATAACTACTCATTGCAAAATATCAAATGGATATAAAAAATTTAGCGAGCAATTATTCATCCTCTCCTTCGGAATCGATGTTTGGGTCCGCTGTAAATGATTGACTCAGTTGCAAACGAGGAGGTTCGTTTGGCAAACTGAGTTTGTTCAGCATTTTCTGAGGTTTCTGATGGTGTGTGTTTTATTGTTAATTTTTGGGAAGAAACCTTAGCCAATGCCGAACCGTGGGAATAGATTTTTAATCTATTCATATGAACGGTTCGCTGTAGCGATCCGTCCAAATTAGTGATAGTAATATTGGGACGAGCAACAGATACGACAATAAAAGGACCTTTCCAGTGGTTTGTGAATTTTGTACGGACGGTGTCGTCACGTAAGAGAACTAAATCACCACTGGAAATGACCTTAGAGAATACTTTATTATGAAAGTCGTAACCTGATTTGTATGTTGCAGTTTTCCGGGCAATCTAATTTCCGACTTGCAGAATTGGTTCGTAGGGCTGTTGTCATCTGGTCGACAAAACTATCTGTTGCATATGAAATCCTGGATGGTAATTGATGGATAATGTCGCTCCAAGTTATCGGATGGCGACCATATGCAACGAAATATGGGCTATACCCAGTTGTGTCGTTTATGCTGGTATTGTATGCAAAAACGACTGGTTGTAGGAAATCGGACCAGTATTCCTTTGTATCAGAACAATAGGAAGTTAAGGCATCGACGATTACCTTTACCAGTCTCTCGACCTGTCCATTAGCCTTGTGGTTGTAACTGGTCGTGAATTTGTTCTCTATGCCCAGAATCTGGTTGATTCTGGAGAACATCTCATTTAGAACCACGGTCGGAGACAAATTCGTTTGGGATGCCATTTTTGGCAATCACATCATTGATTAAGGCTTTTACAACAGTATCTGTTGTTTGATCCGCGATAGCAGTACAAGTGATCAGCTTGCTGAACGCGCAAACAGTTATGGAAATGAATTTGTTTCCATTGATACATTGAGGTAATGGGCCTACTATATCGGTGTGAAGGCGCTCAAATGGTCTGAGAGGAACTGGGAATGAACCCAATTCTTCACGAATTATGTTTCCAGAAGGCGTTTTAATTTTCTGGCAACTAGGACATTTGTTTACAAAATCTACTACATCATGAAACATTCTTTTCCAAAAGTATTTAGCGTGGATATCGTGATAAGTTTTTCTTATTCCCAAGTGGGATCCTAATAAAGGATTGTTATGGAAAACTTCAATGATTTTCTGTTGCAAAACCGGACTAGGAACTACTAATTGATTTTTGTTTGATTTTATGTGATAAAGTAAATTGTTGTAAAGGCAAAAATGTTCTATTTGGTCAGAAAATTTGCTAGGTGGACTATCGATCTTGTTTTTGAAGAATTTGATTAACTCGTTGTATTTGGAGTTAATCTGCGATTCCTGGATATCACTCAGAGACGGAAGTGCGTGGACTTGAATGGAATTAGCACTTGCGACTGGGTAGCGACTAAGGAAATCGCACAAAGTATTGTGCTTGCCAGCACGATACTCGATTTTGATGTCGTACGCTTGCAACGTGATTTGGTACTTAGCGAGACGACCCACGAGGTCTGATCTATGCATTAGCGATTTAAGCGGTGCGTGATCAGTTATCAACGTTATAGAACTGTTTGCAACATAAGGGTAGAAGTGTTTTAATGCAAAAACTATTGCTAAAGCTTCTAACTCGATAATTGCATAGTTCTTCTCGTGTTTTGTTAATGGACGGCTGCAATATGCGATGGGGTGCTCATTACTAGTTTCCGGATTAACTTGTAAGAGGCATGCGCCGAGACCGATGCTTGATGCATCGGTGTGGATGATATAGGGCTTCCCTAACATGGGGGGTACTAAAACAGGCGCTTCCACTAGAGCTTGTTTTAGTGCTTGGAATGCTTTTTCATGATCCTCCTTCCAGTTAAACGCTGCATCTTTTATGAGAAGATTGTTCAAAGGGTTTGCTGTTATCGCAAAACGGGGGATGAATCTTCGAAAGTAAGATGCGGCTCCTAGAAATGATTTAAGCGCTTTGGTGTCCGTAGGGCGTGGAATTTTTCGTATGCTATCTACCTTTTTGGGATTAAGGCGGGTACCATTTTTACTTATTAGTACACCCAGATACTGCACTTCAGATTGAAAAAATGAGCACTTTTAGTTAGTTTCATCCCAAAGTTTTGTATGCGCGTGAAAACTTCTTCCAAATTTCGATATATCACACTTCAATTGTATGTTCTCGCCGTAAATTACGTGCAAACTTCAACGCACGTCACTCGGAAGAACATCCACCACATCAACGCCAACCACCACAACGTCTCGAAACCTCAGCCATGCCACAAGCTCGAGGACGAGCTTCTCGAAGGAATGGAGATGTCGGGTCCACATCAGCTGTCCCTCCTCTTGGAGCGGGCTGTAAAGCCCGCTGGAGGACAGTGACCCCCGACGACCGCTACCAGCAGGTTGCCCCTGCGGCCTCTTCCCCTTTTCCCCACTTTCCCTCTATATATCTTTAATAATAAATATTAGTAAATAAGACTTATGTACTTACCGCTACACATCAGTTAAAGGACCTGCAGACCTTTAACCTGACATACTGCAAATTCGCATTAATTCAGGATTTCATTTAGGTGAACCTTTTATCAAGATTTTTATGTACCACTAGCTTTTTAAGTTTTATTATTGTTCTTCATTTAGCAACTTGCTCTAGAATTTTGATGTTTGAACGCTAATTTCTCAGCCCATCGCTCATGCTATTGCCTTTTCATAATCATTATGATTTTAATTCACCAGAAAGAACGTTTATGTTTTTGGAAAAAAAAGGTGTTGGCAGGTTGGGAAAAGATATGTATTACATTTTGAGCTTTAGGATAAAGTGGATCACTTGTATGGGGGCGGGGGAAAGAAGCTTTTTGAAAACGTTTCAAGCTATTTTGAATTTCAAAATGTTTTAAATTAATTCAGTTATTTGTATGGCTATTACCGTTATTTCATAACTCCTCTAAGGCATTTTCGAGAATTTTGCGAAAAAAACATACAAAAAAATCTCCTACTCTTTTGATTCGCAGATTGACCAGTGGACTCAAAAATGTGACCAGAGTTTGAATCATAAATATTTCTCAAACTTTTGAGCATCCCTAAGGCGAAGTATGCCACTATCATTTATGCAAAGAACAGCATTTATTAACACAGCACTATTCTGACGTACATGTATTTGTACAAAATTATGTATCCTCCAGCCCAAAAAGGATATAACAAGCTTGACTTGTGGAATTTACAAGAAAGGTTGTATTGTTCACCTCCTTGGTACTGCCATCCCTGACGAGAAGGTCAGACCGCTACCATTTCGTGCCTGCAGAAGAAGAATATACATGTTTTCTTCGTCGAACTTTGAAGAATGAACCTTCGTAGATTGACCGCATCTCAATATTTTTAGAATTTTGCTGCGTAGCTCGCTATTGAATATGAAACATGTCCACGGATGAATACACGATAGGCCAATGTTCATTATGGGATGAAACAGTATCCATACAGTACGGAGTACGGACTGAAATGATTGTTGTCAGCAAAGCTAGTTATTGTGAGAAAAATTTGACTCACCCGAGGATTTTGGTTTATGATGAATTGGCCAATGTTGTATATGAAAACCAGTAGTAGCGCTATCATTAACCCAGTTACTTGTATGGTTAAACCAAGTTCCCGTCGACTCATTATGGAGTTGTTACCAGCTTGGTTCGTGCTAAAAGATTAAATTAAAACTAATTGTTACAGCCAAAAATGCATGCATATGCGATTCATCGCACGCAGAAAGGTGCGGTCGCTGTCGGTGTCCTCCAGATTAAACGCCTCTCATTTCTCTAACCGTCTGCTATCTCTCCAAAACGCGTGCTATCTTAATAGGACGCTACAACGTCAAGTCTCTGCGTGGGATGAATTGCCTATAGACCTGCGCTTCCTCTCCTGTCAATTTCGGAATTCAAGAATTGGTAAACTGCTTTACCTTTCATTTGAAAGTCTGCTCTTGATCACATGTGCAACTACAAAAATGTAACAGGTAGCCGAGATAAGAAATAAAATAATGGCGGATAATATGGTAACCATGTTGGCTATCTATAATTGGAGTTCAAAATAGCAAGTTTCTATCTTTCGATCTCTCCTTTTGATGGAAATGAAATCTGGTCTAAAAAGTTTCACCTTTGACTCTTGTTCTGGTGCAATCATAGCAAGATTTTCTTCGGAGTCAAAAGTAACAGAGAATGAAGTCGCGAAGGGCATTATCATCAACAAAGCTGTTAGCCAATGAACGATGACAAAAACCACCAATGGAGTCTCTTCCATAAGCTGAGAGACAAGTTATCGATTGAAACCACAGATACGAATTCAGTTCATACTTACTTTTCCTGCAATCGTTCTACCATGACACACGGCAACAAATCTTTGCACGGAAATTAGTGTAATGCCCACACATCTGAGATAGATGCCGTAATATCCTGATAGGAACATATAGTTAGCAACTAAGCCGCGATGTGCCCAGAAAAAGTCATTTATTAACTCAGATTTACGAATGCATCCAACAAAATTGAAATCCAACAAGGTATATACGTCTGCCATTCCCTAAAAAATGTCAGTGGATTTTTGATAGGTTCAATTAGAAATTCACTTTGAAGCCTGCTCTGCGGAAGAATAATTTATATTCTTGCATTTTTGCAAGTTAACTCTACAAAAACCCCTCTCATATCATATAACTATAAATTTATATTGATGATAGTCGGTTATCAATAAAATCTTCAAATCTTCGGAAGGAATCTATCTTCTCCTTTTAATTTTTTTTCGAGTCAAGAGCTTTTATGGTAATTCAAACCGAGGTCTTACATGAAGACCGTCTGAGCCTCCATGCTTTAGGAAATATCATCGAAATTACTCGAGCGTCTCCAAATGCTATTCTGATTGTGAGCGACATCCCAACAAAGAAGATTTACTGAGTACGTCATGAGACGATTCACTGGAAAACATTTCGAAAAGTTCAGATTTGTCAAAAGAAACGAAAGCTCTGGTACGGTAAGCACGGTATATGTACAACGGAACAATGTGATCCAAAAACTTACTCATACAATTTTGAACATATTTTTGGACAAGTCTTCTTACTATCGAATTTTGACTTCAGTGAAAAATTTCAGTCTCTATAAATTCTAATATAATTTTTGGATGACCCACTTTGTGAGGCGAAATTGTAGTAACAAATGAACTATGAACTTGCATGGTTTTATTCTTGTTTATATTTTAGCGGGAGGTTTGAATGCAGCGAAAGTTACTGATTTTTGCTTTCTTTGTTGAAATTTGCGAAAAGAAGGAGTTTTTGCTGGAAGTAGAAAAAGATTCAAATCGCGGATTTCGATTAAGAAAGGTGACGTTTGAGCCGAAGACCATATTATTCTGCGAAGCGTAAACTTCGTAGGAAATTGGTGAAATTGGTAATGAACCGATAAATTTGAAGCAGTTGATCCTGCTTCCGCGTTTAGTTGCGCTTTTCTCGAAAACGTTGAGATTTGGCATGATGCGTTGAAATCGTTGGTCACTTATCGTCTGTTGTATAATGGGCCATAATTTTGATACTAGATAAAACCAATTGATCAGCTAAGGCGATGACAACGTTTCCCAAAAATCGTGCTAATTCCATTTCTTCGTTATCCTTTTATGTCAAATTATGGCTTTCAAGCTCATATCATGTAAAAATCGTCGTTCGCAAATAAACTAGCAAAGATTATAAATCCTTTACCTGTGTTAGTTTCAAAGAAACCTCACATGTTGCCGAAGAAAGAGCTAAGATTGAATTCAACATCAATATTGAGCATGGGAAATAATACAATAACACCTGCATTTCCTGCGCTTACCTGAGATATTAAAAGAACATCGAATTGAGTCAGTTTGGGCCTCAGGATTATTACCACGAGTATAAGTAGATATAATGGAAGCGTTAAGACTGTTGATATTATATAGAGTATATGAGTAAGCTGAAGTGCCATAGCTGGGAAGTTTTATATCACTGAGTGCAGGGAAAGTCTGTCCGTCTCGTGCGCTCAAATACCCTCCGGATGGGTCTGTAATTTATGGAAATTAAACATTACAAAAGTTCTTAGTCTTGTAAGAGAGGCGATATGAAAAGTATATCAAAAAGGTATCGAGTTCTGGGAGGCTAGTGATATGCTGATGTGAAATTGACATTATAGAATAGGTATGAAATAAAAACATGAGTAAGCAAGACTATGAAACAGATTTTCTACCCTCCCTCCCCCTTTCCTCCCTCCACCCCTTAATTTTCTGCTAATTCCAAAACTTTTCTCATGTCAGACGCACATTAAGGACAGCAGACTTGGTAGCATCTCAGTGTGCTTGCGTTGAATTCTTATGATATAACAAAGATTATTTTTTCCTTAATCCATGCCCTTTTTCAAATGGACAGCAAGGACGTTGAAAGCACTCCTGGTGTATTGTATTTAAAAAAAAGCTATATTGTCTGTCATCGAGCACTTATATTGTTATTCTGCGTCAAAGCTTTCCAGTGTAATTGACCCATCCACAATCTTATGATAATAGTGGAGACAGTACGGGGATTAAGCGCAGAGGAAAAGCTTCTGGCTTTCTCTTGATAATCAAAGTATTTTGTAGAATGTTTGAACAAAAACTTTGATTGCATGCTAATCAACTTTTCCAATTTCGTCTATTTTCTGAGATTTTCATTTGAAAGGGCTTGAGCAGGCTATGGCGGAACAGCAAGCATTTTTCGGTACTTCTTTTTTGGCCTAGCATTTTGAGGGTAATCTTTTGTGTTACTTTTCAAGCTGTAGGATTTCAAAAATACAAATGGTGAGCAAGTTCTTCGATTTTTGCATTTTTCCTTTTTGATGAGTATTTTTTTACGTCTACAGAGGGTTTCCACATGTGTATGACTTAACTTTTCAAGTGCAAGTGTGCAAAAAATCTCAAAATCTTGATGTCCTATTGAGTTTCGGGCCTTCAAAATCAGAAAAACTTTAGTGCTTTCTGCAATCATATGTTACGCAAATCAGGACAGAATTGAGTTTTACATTAAGCGATCTAATTAAAATCCAAATCACTATTACCCGAGAAGGTCCGCACTATCTAAATCTTATTTGATTTTTCCCAAAATTTTGAAACAAAAGTCATGTAAGTTAAAAGGAGGCTGGGAAACAACGAATGCAAACTTCAGCGAAAAGTTCGCTCAAATTTACACAAGGTGTCGCAGTAGTTCTTAAAACAGCCAGAATTTCTGCATCTAGCCTACAAACGGAGGCCTCTTTGTATGTGAATTTGTTTGTTCTTGCGATTGTATCTATACCGTAGTTTTCGAATGAAAGTTCAGTTTCTGATTCGGACTGAACTTTGCACACATACACTACGTATTCTACGAACATTCGCCGCTTTCATTTATCCACAGAAGTCGCTTGATTTTTCGCATGACTGCCTACGAGGACTGAATTTTATGCTAGGGGATAAAACACCACCGGTCAAATCGCGCAGCATAGAAGTCTTTGATCACAGTTAATTTTGCAAATGAGCCAATAGCTAGGGTTTGCTATGCAGAGATCATACGAACTTCGTTCGGTTCTCTCATGTCATGGGAAGGCAGAGTAAGGGGTGGAGGACTATATGTCGCCGTATTTGGAAGAGTCCCGCGCGGATTCCCTGCAGGAACGTATGTCCGCGCATGTACAAGGGTGCGTATTTGTCGCAAAGATAGTCCTCCACCCCAGAGTAAGGTATAGTAAGTACAATTCAATGAAGTACAATTTCAATCCGATTTATGAGCCGCAACTTTATCAGGTGATTTTGAAGTGCTGTTGTAGTTTGCTTTTGCAAGTTCTACACAAGAAGCTGTGGAAGGTTTGACACAACTAATTGTCTTCTTTCATAACTTGGTTTTCCCCAAAGTTATAATGAAACAAAAGTTTCTGTTGCACCAATTTCAAGATTTGATAACACCTGCTGATGTAAAGACTCGTACGGCTTCACTTATTTGAAAGGGAAAACATGCGCTCTTAGGAGCATCCTTCTTGATACTCACATGTTGCATTGAGAGAGCAGCAGAGTCTCAACTTTTTATTATTTTTTGTTTGGTTAAATGAAATTTGAGATATCCACATCCGGTGAAATCCGTATGTCTTGCTCTTGCCATGCAAAGTTTTGATCGGAAATCTTTATGAAAAGTCAATTTGCGATCAAGCTGTATAGAACAGCCAAATTGATTTTTCTGGCATTATTTTCAAAATAACAAGGTTTATCAGCAGAGTTGAGCAAGAGGTCAGGCACGAGTCTTTCGAAAACGACCCTCCCTCTCTTCCCTGAAAACCCCCAAACGACCCCCTTGTTCACCTTCCCTCAATGCATAACATGGAAGACATCATCTTGTTCTGATGTGCTTGAAATTTTTGCTGTACTTCCCATTTTCTGCGATCACACTTTACAATCACACTAAATCTGACAGCTGTGAAGAAGAGATACTCGATGTTATCAGTTTATCAATGATAGTATGACGTGTTGTAAAATGTGTTGATGGTTTCATTTCTTGAGTTTGTTTCACTTTTTGCCCTTTGGACATCGCCAGCGGCTCGTCTTCGATTGTACGTACACTTCGTGGCTAATAAACCTACCATACAACGCACGTGGCCCACATCACCCACAGGACAGAAGACACAACTTGGGGGCCGAACAAACTTGAGCACGGGTACCTATCTTGTGCGAAGTTTCTTGTCGGGGGAAATTTCGCTTATACGTTTGTGGTGTGGATTATCGTGCTAGCTTTGTGCAGGTTGATCCACAGGTCATCTGTGGAAAGCCGGCACTTACAAACAGGTACAAGAACCTCTTGTCGAGGTGGTACCTGAAAGTCACCGTGGGGTGAAGTGCAGGTGGATCCGCAGCTCTCTGTGGAACGCCATTAAACGCACTCAAGTACAGAAACCTTGGCAGAGGTTACCTGTACACCACCGTGATTGAACTTCGAAGCTTCATAAGCAAGTAAAGCAGGAAGCTGTTGAGAAGCCCTGCACGTTCGACTGAAGGAAAAACAGCTGTAAAGGCTAAAGTTTTTCTGTTGCAGAGTATGGCAGAATCCATTGATGAAGAAATGGAAGCCATGATCCTCATGGACGAGGAAAGCAAGCGCATCGAGAACCTTCAAGCGCAGATTGTCGGATTGACGCAACAAGTGCGTCAGCTAGTAGAAAAACAGTCGCAGGTATGTGTAGTACCTGCCAAAATGGGCGAATACTTAGCAGAGATGCGCAGCCTTGTAGGTAAGGGTACGCGCAAAGCAGAAAATAAGAAAAGCCCTAAAAGCACCAGCGCCGACCTTCTTCTAATCGATAATGTTTGCAACGGACTAGAAGTAGAAATCGGCAAAATCGAGCAGTTAGTTGAGAATTTGAATAGGTTCAAAAGTGTTGATTTGGTTCAGCTAGAGAAAAATGTAGCTGAAACCTTAGAACAAGCGCGGTACGATGACAGTGCGATGAGGAAACTGTCACAAATTCTTTCGGTAGATTCAACCCAAGTGGTGGAAAGCATACAGCGCATCCTCGGGTCAGGAATCG